TGTCGATAAAAATAGGGGGTCCCAGTCACTGTTCACATTGTCATTGCCATACTTTAATGGGCGAACTCGCCTCCAGTTCGCTCGCTTCCTCACTCGCTGTCTTGCAGTACTGCTGCCGTTTTAGACATGATCACTTATACTCCCAAGCGTCCGCGAGAGAAGGAGGACCATGAGCCCGATGGAATCACAAGTCATGAAAAAAAGGTACGCCTGTAGCTGAAGTCCGCAGGAAACCGTGATGTAGTGCTCACAACAGTCAAACAGAAACATCGCTCTTTACCTCTACGTGCCTCTCCCCAAACAAATAGCAGTTTCCCGTTCTTGAAAAGTGACCAGAATGACCCACAAGTCGGCGTGTCGAGTCTGACCCCAGCAGAGTCCTCGGAGGACGATAATGATCATGGGCATCGTGGCGACAACCCTCGCAGCTGCTTAATGGAAGCAGAGTATCGGCAGGCCCAATCAGTGCTTTCAGCCGCTCGGTATGGCACGGAAATGGACGTTGACAACGGCAACAATGTCGGTGTGGATTTTGTTGACGAGAGCTGCAATGACCGCTCACAACAATCCCCGATACCACCCAGAGTCATCTACCGCTCGCTCACAATAAGCGAGCAACAGACTACATGCCTTGCCCATGAAACCCGCCCCTCTGCGGTCGATTCCACTGAGAACATGGAACATCGAAACGGTGCATATCGTACACGTCACGATGCTTTGGATGACTTGTACAACGACCGCAATACAGCTTGGTGGCGTGATCAACATCTTCCCAGCCCCGTTAGTGACGGCGATGCCATGGCCATCAGTAGCAAAGATTCGGCTAGCGATGCGGATATGACCTACACTATGTCGCGCCCGGCGTCCCCTTCTTCTGGACAAATGAGTGGCATGTATGAGAGCATGCGTGATTCAAAACCTTCGCCGGGTACTATTACAGGAGGTGAAACCAGCCCAAAGAAGTTGACATTCTCGATGGGCTACCGGTCTGATTGTGAGAAATGCCGACGCAAGGTCCCTGGTCACTACAGTCACATTATACGCTGTTGATATTTTTATGATACCCTAGGCCCACGGTGTTTCTCGATGTTCCTTGTTTTACGTTTCTTATTTTACACGTCAATGTAGTGGTCGATACGGAGCACAACAGGCTGCTGTTATATAAAATTCCAGTAAAGAGTTGTGGATCTTGGTCACTCTCACAGAATGTAGATCTCCGCCTGCAGAGTCGAATCGTAGATCTATTTACCTACCTTACTATACTTTGATTTGCTTACCTATTTCGGAATGCATACTTCTAGACCTCCGGAAATGGAGCTATGGCTACCAAGCACTGTCCGGTCGGTTCCGACTTGGTGTTCCGATGAAGCTGACATAAGCATTCGGATCTGAACAAGACGGAACGGATTCAACTGGTTATTTGCCATCGGAAAGCAAACCGTATGTACCTAGTCGATAACAGATAAAGTAAGGTATATCTATGGGAAGTACCTGCTTGGGCAGGCGAGAACAGCATTAGATCACTCAAGATCGACCACCGAGAGAATAAACAATACGGAAGGAGAGGGGGTGGGGGTTCCCGTCCCTGGAATATATGCACTCGAGCACGCACAACACTTCGGCAAGGCATAGCCGTAATCAGATCCTCAGATTCCCCCCCTCCGCCTTTCCCCGCGGCTGTCCGCTTAGCCGATCTTCACTGCCGGCAATACGGTGGCTCCTCCAGAACGGCTCGTTCACCAGCGATGGATCCCGAGCCCCAGAATTTCCTACCATGGCGGCCCTTCGCCAATAAGTATGCTAGCGCTCCCCAGTTTTCTCTTTTTTCCTGTCGGAACTGATACACGAGCTGCGACTTCTGCTCTTACGTGAAATCCTTCAAGCTTCTGATCCTCTGGTCCTCATTCTTTTTGCAAAGGAACCCCTAGATCTACTTCACGATGGCCTCTCCGATTCCCCGGGGCCTGCGTCAGGTCCTCCAGAAGTCTCCCAATGACATTGTCATTCTCTCTTCTCTCCGTACGCCTGTAACCCGAGCGAAGAAAGGTGGCTTCAAGGATGCTTATCCCGAAGAGCTCCTTGCCAACGTGCTTCGTGCCACTCTTGAGGCGAACCCGAACCTTGACCCGGCCCTAATTGACGACGTCGCCATCGGTTCTGTTCTCCAGGAGCTCGGCGGTGCCAAAGCTGGCCGTATGGCTCAGATCCATGCCGGTTTCCCTAACACCGTCTCTTTCCATACTATCAACAGACAATGCTCGTCCGGCCTGGCTGCTATCTCCACTATTGCCAATGGAATCCGTGCCGGCGCAATTAACGTTGGTGTCGGTGGTGGAATGGAGTCCATGACCCGCAACTACGGTTCCCGCGCTATTCCCACTGTCCTCTGGCCTGAACTCAAGGATTCATACTCGAAGGATGCTCGGGATTGCATCATGCCGATGGGTATCACTTCGGAGAATGTCGCCGCTCGCTACGGAGTCTCCAGAGCAGACCAGGATGCTTTTGCCGCCGAGTCGCACAAGAAGGCAGCTGCGGCCCAGAACGCCGGCCTTTTTGACTCTGAGATCGTTTCTGTGAAGACCGTGTCCTACGACCCCGAGCACCCCGACGCTGCTCCCACCGAGATCACCGTCTCGAAGGACGATGGAATCCGCCACAACCTTTCAGTCGAAAAAATGGCTAGCTTGAAACCCGCCTTTTCTGCCGATGGTGCCAGCACTGCTGGAAACAGTTCTCAGGTCAGCGACGGTGCTGCTGCGGCCCTGCTGATGCGCCGCTCTACGGCTACTGAGCTCGGCTTGACCTCTTCCATCAGGGCTCGCTGGGTTGCCTCTGCTGTTGCTGGCTGCGCTCCCGACGAGATGGGTGTTGGCCCTGCCGTTGCCATTCCCAAGCTTCTGCAAATGCTGGACATGAATGTCTCCGACGTTAACATCTGGGAGATCAACGAGGCCTTCGCCTCCCAGGCTCTGTACTCTATTCGCAAGCTCGGAATTGACGAGTCCAAGGTCAATCCTAAGGGTGGTGCTATTGCCATTGGTCACCCTCTGGGTGCCACTGGTGCCAGACAATTGGCGACTCTTATTCCTGAGCTTGAGCGCACCGGCCAGGATGTCGGTGTTGTTAGTATGTGCATTGGAACTGGTATGGGTATGGCTGGCATGTTTGTCCGGGAGTGAAAGTGCGGAAAGTGAGGGTTGCATCATTCTGTACAGTTTTGTGTTTTTCTCTTTTACATTTTCATGATTTCAGCGTAGACGCTTGTATATACACCCACAACTCATGAAGTTTTACTTTCCCATATCCTTTTTTCTTGCTTGTTCTTCAAAATCCTGATAAGAATCTTGACATTCAACGACCGTAGAGTTTCTGGTGTGTACTGTACGGCAATTTACGTGGTTCAGCATGAGTATTCTTCCCGACGCCAAGCCCGGTGACCTGTATCACGTGACAAGCCGCTTGGAGTTCTTGAAACTTTTCCCAAGACTGGCCGAAGAGTCCCCGACAGCAATCCCGCAACGCTGCAGTCATGCGTCCCTCTGTGCGTCTGTTAAACTTGGAAGTGCCCTCTATCCAGGGGGCCCGATCTCTCTATGTCTGCTCAGTCTGCAGACATGAAGCGCGTCCCCGTCCGATTGTCGCCCGCCAATTCTTGCGCAACGCCTCCAACGCGAACTCGCTGACCGAGAAGGTGCGCCGCAAGATCTGGGGCACCGACAACCCCCCCGGTCTTAAAGACCCCTATGGCGGAGAGGGTGCTCTTGAGCGGAAATTTAAAAGCAAGCAAGCTCCGACGGTAGTAGAAGAAGAGACACCTGAAGCTTCGCAGGCGCTTGACACCGCTGCCTCCGAGGACGCTGCTCCCGCTGCAGACGACTATGAGCCGGCGACAACATGGGAGGGTCTCGATCGCGTCGGCCACCTCGGTCGGTGGTCTGACCTTCCTCCTGCGCCGACTGACGTATACAAGTCGTAAGTGGTCCTCTGGCTGTCCAGTCATCCCGCTTGTATTCATCTGGGAAGCGAAACCCTTCTGTATAGTTCTTCAGTGGGCTCTGTGCAGTTGTCTAATGAGTCTTTCTTAACACAGGTTCCAGTACAAGAAGAAGATTACTAAGAAGGGCTTACTCTCAATTGCGGCTCACCAGGCTGTCGTCGAGCTCTGCCTCATGCACCAGCTGGGTAAGCCCTTGACGAGCATCTGTGATGTCGAGGAGCACGATCAGTCGGTTTTCAAGTTAATATGGAAGACCAAGGTTGTACCGACCTCGGATGGACAATGGAATGCGGCACTGGAATTTCCCAACAAAGAGGCTGAGGAGGCTCTTGTCTATGTTTTTGAGCAAATCGGTGGCCAAAAGGCCGCTCCTGAAACGGAGGAAGCGTCGCAGGATGTTGAAGAGGCAGAAGAAGCGACAAACGACTTGACAGACATCCTCGGCACTGACGAGACCAAGCAACCTTTCTTTGGTTATCAAACTATTCGTGACAATGGTTTCTTGTCTCTGTCGCTGAATGATCCGGCCACGAAGTTTGCTGTCAGTCTCCGTTCCCCCTTCGCCCTGCATAGGGCAGTCAATCTGTCGCAGTTGCTGACTCATTTCACAATTTAGTTCTTGAAGAGATTCTCCCAATTGACTGGCCACTTCTTCCCCGACCCTGCTGTTCATTCGATCGCCACTGTTCAGCAGGCCGTTGACCACGTTCAGCAAGTCGTGAAGACGAAGCCGAAGAAGCTGGCTGATTACCTCGCCAATAATCAGCGGTACTCAAACATGCCCAATATCAAAGTCTTCGCCAAGAGACAGAAGCGTTCTGACAGGGATGAAGAATTGGGCCGCAAGAAGCTCATTGAAGCCGAGCTTCGCGCAAGAGGTCTTATTGAATAGACTGCTACGATGGTGCGTTTGGGGTAGGTCCCCGAGGTTTAAGTTTCTAGTTCTTGTAGCATGTTATTTGTTAAACCCTTGCTGTACAATAGGAAGCAATGTTTTGTTCGTTCAAATATCGTTGAAAGTATCAGTACAAAAATTCAAATCTATTATATAAAGAAATTGGGGTAATGAGCTAGGTCCTATGCTTTGCCGAACTTCCACCGAGAAGCCAATGCTTGAAACGCCAGTTTTGTGACATAAATGAGCAGAATGCAAGAAGGAGGCATTCAAGCTCGGTGCCTAGAATTTGCAGGAAGGGTAAAACCTCGGGTCATGAAGTCAGTATTCTTTGACATTCCATCTTTATCGGATTCCTTCGTGAAGAGACTGCTTAGGTTGTCATTATGTCCCATCAGCTTGCGTCGCTTTTTCTTCTCATTCTCCTCCTCAAGTACACGAGCAGTTAGCATGGCGGTGGCTGCATTCTTGATCCCACTGGGAACATTTGAAGTAGGCGTGGACGTGTTGCTACGGCTAGCAGTGGCAAATTCTTCCCTCGTGCGCAAGGCTGACGATGACACTGGCCTTGACTCTTTTCCCGGCTTGACCTCTGACTCGGTACTGGCGAGAGCAGCGACAGCATCGCCATTGGCGTGCTTCTTGCGCTTCTTCGAACCAGGCGCCTTCTTCAAAGAATGTGTCAATCCTTGCTCAGCTAGCTTCTGGCTTCGCTCAATCAGCTGCTGCTTATCCGACTCTTTCGCCGGGAGTATGGATATCACATTGTCGATTGTGTAAGGTTCGTCGCACTAAATGCACGCCTGTTAGCGTCACGCAATCATCGGTGCAGTAGCGAGTTATAAGCACCTGTAAGCACCTCTCGCCCTTCAGCTGACGGATCGCTTCTTCGGAGAAGACATGTCCGCAAGGAACAAGGTAGACGGATTTGACATTCGGGCCCAACTGCTTGGCGGTGACTGGACAGATCCAGCCCTCGCGCTTCTCGTGCTTCCCAGATGGATGTCCGCCGTGCTCGGTGTCCACTTCAAACTTCAGCTCCACAACGTCACGGAGACCCTTCACCCGGCCACAGAGAAACTCATCGCAGTCGGCTTTCGAGCTGATACCCTCGGCTTCATCTCCCGGTAACAGATATCGTAGGACGGAGTCTTTATTAAAGAGGTTTCCGACGCAGTCGGAGACGATAGGCCGCATTAACTGCTTATGCGACAGTGGACATGTGTTCCAGAAGTGTTCCTGCAATTCGCGCTGGGTTTCTTTCAATTGCGCCGTGCTGGGATTCCGGGCGGCTTCGCGAACGAGCTCGCGGCGAGTGGGGATACTGAAGACCGGGGAATTAGTGACTTTGCACACCACAGAACCCGAAGATTTAGTCCTTTACCTTCCACCATCATTACCCATTTTCTTTTGTTTGTTTGCTTTTGACACCCGAAAGGACAGAAAATGGTAAAAGTTGATCCCAAAGTGCTGGAGAAAGATGCTCCCGCTGGGTGACGCCCGGTCGCCACTTTAGATCGGGACCGATTGAATTGATAAGGGGCTGACTAAGACGCTCTGGGCGTCTCCCCGGATTGCTCGATAGAGACGCTCGTTATCAACAGCTGGCCAGAAGCTCTCTCCGCATTTTCTGTTTTATTGAACTCTTCCTACGGTGACTGGACGTCCGCTTCCGGTCGCAATAGTGGTTGACGAGTCAAGCTCAAGGCTGCCCGCCATGATACTTCCTCAGGGATCGCTTTTCTTTGCGAGCATAGCTGCATGCTCGACCGTGGTAGCTGCTGCGGGTGATGCCTCGTCTCGACCCCGGGGAGTCGGACCCGAGTGTGAGTGTAACTCTTCTCTGCTGCTGTTCTCTGCGATCACTTGAGCTTGATGCACCCGCTCAGTCTCTGATGCCACTTCCCGTGCCATCTTCATTTGATTTCCCTGGCCGATCTACTACGTTCCATGAACCAAGCTCCCTCGGACGCACCCGAATAAACTAACACAATTGGTTGGATTTGACAGTCGCAAAGTTCTACAAGGACACCACAACATTCACCTGTATCTCCCATCCATCGATTCAAATCCCATTCTCCGCGGTAAACGATGACTACTGTGACTGCCCCGATGGTAGTGATGAACCCGGCACGTCGGCCTGCGCTCATCTCTCCCGCAACTCGGCATTGACAGTGGCCGACCGGCCGGGGAACAGCGACCTCGAACTCGTCTCTGCCCTTCCGGGTTTCTACTGCACAAACAAAGGCCACAAGCCATCCTACGTTCCGTCACAACGAGTCAACGATGGTATTTGCGACTACGAACTTTGCTGTGATGGGAGCGACGAGTGGGCACGGGTCGGCGGCACCAAGTGTGAGGACAAGTGCAAGGAGATTGGGAAGGAGTGGCGTAAGAAGGAAGATAAGAGGCAGAAATCTCTGACGGCCGCCCTCAAGAAGAAGCGCGACCTGCTTGTGGATGCGGGCAGGCAACAGAAGGAGGTTGAGGACCAGATCAAGAATCTGGAGGTGGAAATCCAGGCCCAGGAGTTCAGGGTCAAAGATCTCCAGGCCCAGTTGGAGAAGGCCGAGCAGGAAGACAAGAGCAAGGTAGTCAGGGGTAAGAAGGCTGGCAAGGTCAATGTCCTGGCCCAATTGGCCAGGGGTCGAGTCGAAGAGCTTCGGGACGCACTAGTGAACATCCGCAAGGAAAGGGACGATACCCGCGCACGGGTGAAGGAGCTCGAGGAAATCCTATCCAAGTTCAAGGTAGAGTACAATCCTAACTTCAATGACGAGGGTGTCAAGCGTGCTGTGCGCAGTTGGGAAGATTATGCCGTCAGGGGAACCCTTGAGAGTGCCACAAGCGCTGCCAAGGACAATGATTTGGACGAACTCGTCAAGCCAGACGATGCCCAATCTGGAATCAATTGGGAGCAATGGGAGAACGAAGATGAGGGCTGTGAGACTGACTCTGGTAAGTACACTCACTGCGATGGCGGCCTTGCCTTAGGTTTTGGTTGATATTGACCGTAAGTAGCCCTGATCTATCAGCTGGCAGCTTATTTGCCTCCTTCACTGGTTGAGTTCATCGAGACTAAAGTGGTCTCTGTCCGGGGTTTCCTTGAGGAGAACGGTATATTGCCCAAGAAGGACGAACCCACGACGTCCGAATCCAAGGTCGTGTCAGACGCCCGGGATGCTGTCAAGTCGGCTGAGAAGAGCCTTGAAGACTCGCGAAGACAGTTGGAGACCCACAAATCCGACCTTGAGACAGACTATGGTCTTGCATCCATCTTCCGTGCATTGAAGGGAGTATGCATCTCGAAGGACTTTGGTGAATATACGTACGAGCACTGCTTCCTAGATCAAACCAAACAAATTCCCAAGAAAGGCGGTGGTTCGATGCGGATGGGCAAGTACTCTGGCATTGGATCTGTTAGTGTGGACGTGCTCGACGAGTCTGGAGATATAATCCCAGAGGAGAAGGTCGCCCTGCATTATACCAATGGACAAACATGTTGGAACGGACCGGCACGATCGACAACGGTCGTCTTGGAGTGTGGTGAGGAGAACGAGATTCTGAAGGTGGCCGAAGATGAGAAATGCGTCTACTCGATGCTCGTTACCTCGCCGGCTGTTTGTCCCGGCGGTGAGGAGGAAGGGAATGCTGCCCCGAGGAGCAAAGATGAGCTGTGAGAGGCTGGCCGTACTCTACTGACATGCTTGTGGGGTCATATATAGTTAGCGGTTAAGTAGTTTATACTTAGTAGAGAATGTTTTGAATAGCATATACGGCAATTGTATTGTGTTTTGAAGGTCGAAATATCATGACCAAGCTGATTACAGTAGATGCTTCTTACGCCGGAGACCCCCTCCCCCGGCCCCTCACAGCAGTCTGCCAGGCAGGTATGTCTAAGTAGAAGGAATGTGAATTAGTGTGACAATTTGAGTTACTCCCAGTTCTTACTTGGTTTCAGTCGTGATTGGTGCGGCTATGGCGGTGGTTCCATGGAGAAAGAACCGGGAATCTATACTAGGATGGTGTGTATAGTACAGTGGTAACCTAAGTTAGGGTTTAAAGCAAACCAGCACTATCTACTACTCCGTACAAAGTAACTCAAAGCTGCTACAGGTAGAGAATACATGTGACCGGCAAGTTTAAGTTCTTCCAAGTGGACCGGGTTGGAGTTGGGTGCCTCAGCAAAGCATCCACTTTTCTGGGTCAAAAGGAGGGGTAGGGCGGGGTGGTTTTACTACGGCTACTACAGTACGTACGAAGTATTAGAGTAGTCCGTACAGTAGTAAGTTAGTGCTCAATCAGGGATCAATGATAGAATAGATATCGGTCAAAACCACAGACCCCTTCATAAAACAAGAATATAGCTCTGTAGGATCCACAATCGAGAAGCCAGGACGACTCTTCTCGGTCCACGCACGCATGCTGGTTGCTGATACCCACTTGATTCCCCATACCCTCTCGTTATACAACTCAGCCTTCCCCTCCTCGCCCCATCCACGGCGGCCTCGACGTGGCAGCACCGATCATGACTTCAAGGATCACCTCCTACGACCCGCAATCATAACTGGGCGTGCTATCGAGGAATCTTTTCAGGGGCATCCCAGCAGAGAAATGATTCCAGAGTCAGCGATTAGAGATATCTGGGATAAGCCGTCTGCCAGGCCTTGTGATGATGGAAAAAGATAAGCCAATCCGCAGAGTTGCGACAATTGTCTGCATGTATCATCAGCCCACTCAAGTAATCTGCTTCATCAGTGGGTGCTTCACATCCTGAGGGGCAAGGAACCCAGCTGCTTGCGGTGGGATCCATACGAGTCGCACTGTGGGTTTCAGCAAGCATGGAATCCTCCAGTCATGCTCGCCAAAGTCATGCAGAAGGCTGAAAAGAAGGGGAGCAAGCCATTTGCTTGCCTCTAGTGAAGTATATACGTATGGATCAGCAGACGCCGTGCATCGGTGTTGGTGGGATGGAATTCCAAGCGCAGAGCTCACCCTATAGTCAATACTGAGAAAGTTATAAGAACCCTCTCCCTCTTTTGACCTGTCTGATCTAAATCATTCATTCTGCACAATTCCACTATTCTCTCCCAAAGACCATCGCCTTCTTTCCATCTGTCGCCAAACAAGCTCAACAGACGCAAGTCTACCTCACATCCAAACTACCATCATGTCTCCCTGCACCTGCAACTCCTGCGCCACCAGCTGCGCTGGTAGCTGCAACTCCTGCTCTTGTGGCAGCTGCTCTGTACGTATCACCACATGGCTTGGGTTACATGACTCGCGACTGGAAACTATACTAGCTTGATAAAGTACTCTCGGAAGCTAACATCTGGGGGGGGGGGGCAAAGCACTAAACGCATCGTCCTATAGCCCGCTCAATGCGGGAGACTGTGCGATCTCCAATCTCTGATGAACTTCTTTCGTGCTTATCGGAACTATGGCCATGGCTATTTGGTGACTGGCGGAGGGTGATGTGGGACGAGACTGTTTTGTTTTGAAATGCGCATGTCTCTTGTTTCCTTTACTTTCTTGATGAGCCTTGGCATGTGCGGCGGATTGGTGCAACCATGAAGAAGACGGAGCCTTTACAGAAATAATCAGAAGCGATTTGACCAATAAATTTTGTGTTCCGAGTATGGCGGCTTCTTCAAGCACAGAGATCAAATTTCCCCGAAGCTCGGGTTGCACGACTGTGGCAGATATGCCGAATCCGTCGTGCTACGTAGGACTCGAATGATTGACGTGCGTAGCTGAGTTACCGGCTTTGGATTCCTCTATGTACTTGAAGGCAGGTTAAGTCGTAGGTAGGGTCATTGTCCTCTGTTGTGATTTGATTTTGATCTTTGTATGGCCATAGATCTTATCGATCTAATATGTACATGGAACTAGGAAAGGCCCTCCGAACCGTGGACCAGATCCATCTTGACTTGTTCACCGCAGAGCTCAACTCCGCACCTAATTTATTTCTTGAGGGGGTTCAAAGATGTCAGCCTGCCAGATTCGGGTATATCATCATTTGACCTGAAAGGGATGCAGGTGAACATACCGGGCACTTGCACTGGCCGGCAGGGCACTGGCAAGAGGCGCCGCAGCTGCAACCGTGGTCGGAACCTGTAAAGAGACGAGCGATATTTAGCAAACGTGGCTGACAAGTCATCCATGATGACTAGCAGAGACAAAAAAGAATAAAAAAGCCGCGATGTCCGAAGGCAGGCAGTGGAAAGTCATGGGTCATGGATAATCATGAACCCCGCCATTGAATTTACCCCGCTGGACAATAAGGCCATCACACAAACACACACAACCATCAACGAATATGATGAAACAGAAAGCAAGAAAGTCAAACACATAAGCTCACCTACCCATGATGATAAGAGTAGAAAGGTGTTAAAGTAAACGGGTGAGATAGACAAGGAGTATCCCTGAATCTGATTATTTGGAGAGGAGTAAGGAAGGAGGAAGTTGTTATTGTGGTCTGTGGTACGGGAGAAAAGATACTTGATAGCGGGGTCATTCAACCCGGTATTTATACCTCGCCACTGCAGGCCATGACTACTACCTAGATAAACAGATCCTCAACAACGAATAGTAACTTTACTGTACTGTACTATACTCACCGACCGTGGCCCTCTTCTCATCATCTTAGCGGACCCGAGACATGAGCACATTTCTGCAGGTCAGGCTGATTTTGGTTAAATGAGAACCGGCGCTGCCCACCAACCACTAACTTACCACAGGCAGTGTATGTACAGTATTGAAACCATGAAAAGTAGGTAGTATTAATTCTGCCTCGGGGGGCGCTTATAACGCTATTCTCTTTCATGTTGTTATCCTTCCTTTCCTGTCTCGACTGGTCTGTCTGACTGGGTGCAATAGGATTTGTATGCTCCAGATTGCAGCCAACGACGAAGCTAGGAATATCCAAGTATGATGCAGTGTGCCATCTCGTGTTTATGCGGGAGTCTTGCACAGGATGTCAGTCTGGAGCAGTCTACAGATCATTCAACCCTGAACCTCTGCCACTGCACCGCCTGTCGCACGACTACAGGCATGCTGTGCTCTGCATACCATCCCCTACAAGCAAGGCCACAGAACTTGGACAGCATGCACGAGTACCAGCAGTCCGAGGATATAGTTCGGTATTTCTGTAAAACCTGCGGCGCCCATGCCCTGGCGTATTCGAGGCCCTCGGAACGATATTTCGTGGCAGCCGGGTTGCTGGTGGACAATGCGAACTCGCCTCGGACTCGATCGGTGCGGCATTGGCGGGCTTCTGAAACGCGCGATGGTGGCCTGGTTTCTTTCCTCGAGGGGGAGCCTGCAACCATGGCCGCGACATGCTGGCTTCGTGCTCACTCCAATAGTGATAGTGATAGAAGCTGCTCGGAGGCGAAGGCGGATATCGAGCGCTCGCCGCAGGACTCCACGGAACTGCGAGGGCAGTGTCACTGCGCAGGTATCGAATTCTACGTTACTCGACCGGACGCTTCCTCCACGGAGGCAAGCTCTCCATGGTCGGATCTACTTGTTCCGTACTATGCCAATTCGTCGGAAAACCCTGCCGATGTGAAGTGGTGGCTACGGAATGCGAACACCAGGTATCTAGCTGGGACCTGCGCCTGTCCGTCCTGTCGTCTGGCCAGCGGGTGTCCAATTCAACCATGGGCGTTCATCCCAAACGCCAATCTTCTCGATGCCCGCAAAGCACCGTTCCAATTCGGTGCAGGCACCATGCAGCGGTTTGAAAGTAGTCCGGGCGTTTATCGAGAGTTTTGCAGCCGCTGTGGAGCCTCGGTCTTCTGGCATAGCGATGAAAGACCCTTGTTGATGGATGTCAGCGTCGGATTGCTTCATGCAGATGAGGGGTCGCGAGCAAGCCAATGGCTAGAGTGGGCGACCTCGAGAGTTAGTTTTGCTGAGATGGCTTTGGACAAGACTTTGATCGACCGGCTACAGACAGGTCTTAGACAGTGCGGACCCGAAGATTGACTGATAGCCAGTCTACTGGAGCGGGGGGGGTAAGCTGTAGGTGGTTGATAGCCAGGTTAAAGACTATAAATAATGAGAAAGTAGTTGTAATCACTTGGTGAAAATCACTTGCCTCCTCTAGGCTGGAGCAGTTGCAGACGTTTGGTTCCCAATTTACTCCCACTCACTTACATGTCCGCTCACCTACCCACCTACCGCCTTCCTGAAATAGGCCGATACGATGCGCTCCCGTCCGCTTCCTAAAGAGACGGAAAAAAAAACCACAATGAAACCGACGGATCGAACACGGTAGAACACGCGCCATCTCTTTCCTTCATTCACTTCAAGGTCCAGTTGCGTTTCGTCCCTGAGTATTGGGCTTTTCCTTTCATCAACATGCCGCCGGCCTATGAGTTCCGGGGAAATGATCGACGGTCATCGTATCGCCCCAAGCAGGAATTCACCTTTCGTTATCCGCGTCCTGGTACCTCCGAGCGTCCGCTACTGAGAACCAGAAGAGAAGCTACACCAGAGCAGCTGCTAGCACAGGGATCGTCGGACAGTAAACCTGGCTTGAAGTTTGCTTCCATAGAAAATCTCAGCGACAGCGAAGAGGCGGATATGGACGTTTCCTCTGATGACGATGCGGATGCGACTCATCCACGCAAGAAACGCGCGATCGAGTCCAACAGTACCACAGATACCGCCCCTCCTGCGGCGCCCACTCCCCGGTGGTCCAACCCTGATCCTTATACTGCGCTGCCTCCGCCCGACGATAGTCAGTCAAAGCGAGTGGATGTGGTCAAATTAATCCGCAAGGCCCGGATTGCTGCGACCGCGACCCAGACCGCACAGAAGGATGCAGTAACTACCAACGAGGACTTCATCTCACTTGGTGGGCTGGGTGGTGATGAGGATGAAGACAGGAACCCCCCGGAGAACGCGCCTACCGGCCCGAAGCGTCAGCTTGACGGAAGAGATTCGGCGCTGGGCAGTCGAAAGAGAACATATGATGACGAGTTGAAGGGCATTTCGAAGAAGACCGGCAAGCCACTGAGTCGGTTCCATAATGATGGCTCGGTTACTGATGAATGGAGGGTGCGCCCACTTCAATCGGGTGCGCCCTGGCTACATCATATGGCGCCTACCTTACACTTGGGTACCAGGTGGGTGCCGATCTTCAATCTAAGTAGGATATTGCCTTCCGCTGACTCTGCGACAGATTACACAACGAAATATTAAGCTTTTATCACTGGGTGAAGCCGGTGTCTTATGAGCAAATCGTGCGAGAAGACTTGGTATCTAGACTGCAGACTGCATTTCAGAGCAGGTACTACGGTGTGCAACTGCGTCCCTTCGGTTCCTTTGCGTCCGGCCTTTATCTTCCCACTGCGGATATAGATCTGGTCCTACTTTCAACGAACTTTATGCGCCATGGGATTAAGACTTTTGGCGAGCGGAAAGGTCAAATCTATGCGTTTGCTGCATTTCTGAAGAACCAGAACATAGCTGTTCCCAACTCAATTGAAACGATCGCTCATGCTCGTGTGCCCATCCTCAAATTCGTGGACAAAACTACGGGTCTCAGAGTTGATCTGTCCTTTGACAACGACAGTGGACTGGTTGCCAATGAAACTTTCAAGCAGTGGAAGGCTGAGTACCCCGCAATGCCCGTTCTTGTGTCCGTGATCAAGCAGTTCCTCCTTCTTCGAGGACTCAATGAAGTGCCTACTGGTGGATTGGGTGGATTCTCGATTACTTGTCTTGTTACAAGCTTGTTGCAACACATGCCTTATGGTCACTCGGCACCGAACCTAGGCAGCATGCTCATGGATTTCTTTGAATTCTACGGCAAGCATTTTGACTATGAAAACGTTGCCATCCGTTTCAACCCGCCCAGTTACTACAATAAGGTAAGTGCCTTTACAACTAGCTGAACAACAGAGCTGACGGTATGGCTCCAGAAGGTCTACGGCTCCCGAGATAACAACCCTCGTCTCTCGATCGAAGATCCCAATAATGCCGATAATGACGTTTCTGGCGGCACACGAGAGATTGCTTTGATCTTCCGGTCTTTCGCTGAAGCTTACAGACGGCTCAAGGCGCGAATGATCACAACTGCCAGGTCAGAGGATCCCAAGGCCAGCATTTTGGAAACCATCATTGCGGCAAACTACGACGAATATACCGAGCAAAGGTGGCAGCTGCGCCAGATCTTCGACAATGATCCCCGCTTCGCTCATGTCCATCAGCCTCCCACACCCCCACCCCCACCTCGAGGCTCACCCCCGGCTAATACCGCCCCGCCACCACCCCCTCTGCCTCCCCATTCCCCTCTGCACCTGAAGGAGAAGGAGAAGGAGAAGGAGAAGGAAAAGGTTACTAAGCTGCAAAAGAAGCAACAAGCGGCGCGAGATCGTGCGGCACGTCTCAGGCGACTACGACCAGACCTTCCATCTGTTCCCAGTTCCATCACCAATGAGCAAGCAATGAGTCTTGGTGGGTATAAGACCCAGTCAGACATGGATCGGGATCTTATGCAACGCGAGAAAGAGTCCAATACACCTAGCGAAGACTAAACACATAGCATGGTATAGTCGAGCGCATGTTGTCTGTACAATTCCTCATGATTCATCGGCAAGTGGATCGATGTCATATGCTTGGTGATGACGAGGATGTATTCCTCATGGTGGCATTCTCCTGTTATCTATTCTACTTGCGTCTTTTTGAGCGTTAGATACCCCAGTTATGTAGACTTGGAAGGCGTTATGGGAGGAAGTGCTTGGGCTGGGCTGTTGTTGTCTCTCTGTGGTCCATGGGAGTAATAAGGCTGCGCCTGGGGTTTCACAGCTTGGTTCGCGGTTCTCATTGATCGAAATGTCTGATGGGGAGGTCTTGGAGTTTCGACAGGGCTAACATGTGTGCAGAATTACTGACGTACTTGCCTCAGCCGATTCGCAATGGGAGATATCCTGTCTTTTCGCTCTGCAATGAGGTCCTTGTCACAGAGACCAGGGGCTCTCCTTACCGAAGCCGAAATTAGGGGCAAGACTTGTTCAGTGTCTGACTGGCAGGCAATACGCTACTAGCAGCAGCAGCAATGAGTTAGAAGCAAGCAAATCGAAATGGTACAGCCGAGGAGACTCTTTTGTGTCTCTGGTTCTTTCTACACACTCCTTTCCCACCTCTTTCTCATCAAGGAAGCGCTACATGCGAGTCCTTGGGGAGGATGCTGCGGGTTGAAGGAGATGTGGACCAGGGCTTGCAAAGGAATCTAGAAAGACCTGTCAAAGATTTGGTCACTTGAATATGCAAGTGGAAAGGCGGCAGATACACCATGAGCCATTTCAGATTATCGTTCGTATTCATGAAGGATACATGTAGGCAACCCACCCGAAGCCCCTGTCGGATGGGGAATGCGTGGCAGCCGGGCAGACCGATTAGTTTCCATCAGAATCACTATCGTGAATCTGATGAGAAGACCAAATCGCTGTCTCGACAGGCGGCGTCGCAGAATGGTTTCCAACGCCCCGACTAATTAGCCTCCGCAGCAGCATCTTCAGCTTTCTCAAGAGATGCCAGGTGATCAGCAGGCAGAGTATTGACGAAGTCAGGTCCTGGGCTGGCCCACGTGTAGTCCACCCAGTCCGGGCCGAGGATAGCTTGGATCCGCTGCGTCAGAGATGCGATGCGGTGCCGACGATCCTGGGACCAGTCCGACGGGGTCTGCTCCTGCTTCTGCTGCTGCTGCTGCTGCTGCTGCTTGTCTTGACCATTCTCCAGTCCATCAAGAATACTTCGCCACACGCTCAGCGTCTCATCCAACTCATTTACATTGCTGACGCCCATCACGCTGACGCCCAGTCGCTCTCCAGTCCCATTAGAAGCCACAGAGACCAAACCAGAGTCAGCGGTAGGGGCCCGCGCAAGAGGCGGCCCCATCGCGCCAACCTGAGCCCCGTCGCGCAACCATGCCTCCAACGCGAACCTAATGGCGATGACTTCCAACTTCTCCGCCTCCTGGCTGTTCGCCCACGCGCCCGCTGCCAGGATGGCATTCCGCAACCCATCCGGGGCGGGGTGGAAATCCCCCATGCTCCCGATGGGGACGCCGTCCCTCCTCAACAGACCCATGCCCAGCGGCGACGCATTGGGCACCACGTCCACGCCGGCGGCCACCAGCCTCGGCAAGCCCTGACTGCGGAGCCGGGTGTTCTGCAGGGTGAAGTTGGCGTACGACTGCACGAGATCCAGGGGCTCGCCGGTCTCGCGCAGCACCAGCTCGGCGATCTCGCACAGCACGTCGACCGGGTAGCCCGAGATGCCGACGTAGCGGATGGTGCCCTCGGTGTCGCGGATGCGGCGCAGCTCGCGCACCGCCTCCAGCGCCTCGGCGCGCGACACGAACTCGACGTCGTGGCAGTACACCGCGTCGAGGTAGTCGGTGTGCAGCCGCCGCAGACTCCGGCGGATGCTGCGGCGGATCCACCGCGGCGAGTAGTCGAACGACGAGGAGGCGATCCGGCCCACCTTGGTGAGGATCTGGTAGCTGTGGCGCGGGAATGCGGCGCGGACGGCCTCGCTGGCCAGCGCCCGCCCGAGGAGCTCCTCGGCCGGGCCGTAGTATGGCGACGTGTCGAAGGCGCGCACGCCGTCGGTGAGAGCGCGATGGACCAGCTCGGTGGTCGGGAGTGCGTACGGGTCGTGGTTATATTGGGAGTTAAATGTCGCCGTGCCCATGATCAGGGGCGGCAGATGCGTCGAGAGGGGTGTCGAAGGGCGACCCATTGCTTCTTCGTTCCTTTCGTTCCTTCGTGCCTGTCTTATCCTCTAATGGTAGAGATTGGTGAGAAAGTTGGAGGAAAGAAAACGAAGTGCAGTAGCAAATCTCTGGGAATTTATATAGCCTGAAATAACCAAGTGAGGGGAAGATGGAAAAATACGTTGCGGAGATAAGAAGGCGCCGACGCGGGGACGGGAGGGAGGGGGCAGGCAAACATTTCCGACACAACCCACAACCCCGGAGAATTGTCCCTGATCTCATGGGTCGTACATACTTAATACACCTCCTGGGGTTACTGAGAGTAGTTAATCGCACTAAAGACTACAGTAAGGCCGTGAGGTCTATGTTTCTTGCAACGTTGCTGGACTGAGAGACAGGAACAAAGCATGGATCTTATTTATACATATGCACGTTGTGGATGGTCGAATTACAGCCACATAAGCCATCGCCTTTCAGCGCTCGAAGTACAGGAGGGGAGAATCAACAAAAGAGGAACAAGAAGCATACGAGGCGAGCAAGGACCACTCTGACCCTGTCGGCTTGAAGTCCCACCTCTTCAAATAATGTACACAACAAATATCGTTTCGGACCCGATGCATCGAGAGGTAACAGTTGTCCGTCTGAAAGGTTTGGCTTCAGTAACAGCAGTACCCTTCTGTCACTCAAGTGCTGGGTCCGACACGGGTGGGCGCGACACGCCATCGAAATCGAGGGAATCTAGAACAAGTCTTCCAATCCAAAAAAAACCTTGGATTCACCAAAAACGCCATGCTATGCTGCGAAGAAAAAACAGACACCTCGGAAGCGGAGGGAGGATTCGGAGTAGGTCGGCAAAGTCTCGAAGACCGCTCAGTTGAGGACGATTGGCATGGTCAAGCCTTCTTTTACCGGCCTCGGAACCGATCGAACGCGTGGGCGGAGGGAACCGGGAGGAGAGAGGGCTGATTCGAGATGTGGAAGCTTCCCATTGTAGTAGCTTTAAGCTTTTCACCGATCCTTATACACCTTCGGCTTCCATCCCTCCTGCAGTTCCTTCTCCTGGGCGGCATGGCGCTCTGCTTGTCGGACCTCCATCTCTAACCGCTCACGGGCACGAAGAATCTTGCTCTGGAGGTAAAAGCTTCCGCCCTTCTGAGGATCGTTCATGTCGAACAATTTCTTGAAGCGCTCCATCACCTGCTCCAGGTTGGCCTCACCACCCTGTGGGGGTTTGACATTGAGAATCTTGCAGGCTTCGTCGAGGGTCAACCCAGAAGCGGCCCCGCCGCCCACTTTCTTGCCTGTCTGGGCAGCGTACTTGGAGGAGGCCTGAGCTTGCTTGTAGGCTTCGGCGAAGGCGCGACCGAAGACGCGGGCGCCCGTAACGACAACTTGGGTGACGATGCGATGGGCCTAGAAGATAGCGAAGAGCGGGAAATGTCAGTCTGGAAACAGAATGATATCAGGAGAGCAAGGGGAACATAAAAGTTGGCCGACCACGTACCATGATGCGTAGTGATAAAAGCCGATCTAGTGGAGGGAGCACTCGTGGGGGGGATTGAGGTGAGAATTCGTTGTCTGGTCTGGCTGAAGGGGAGTTTGAGCCAGGTTTGGATGGCAATGGAAACAGACAGAGAGGGAAAATTTCGGCGGTTGGTTTTAGTCCGAACCGGGGAAGTGCTGGAAGTGCTGGTGACGTCTGGTATGTTACAGTACAATACGGCTCATAGTTACAGTGATACAGTACCCCGTACAATCGCTCGGTCAGAAGTCCCTGTCACATGTTCCCGACCGGACAACCAACAGATGGACTACGACTTCGCATTATTTGGAAAAAGGCTTCAATTCGAACTTGTTCTTGTGTGCTTTCCCCGCAATTTGAAGAATGATGGATCGGCTTTCCACTTACTGAATACTAATTCTACCTACCGCCCCTGCTGGAGCTTCTCGCCTGTCCCTTCTCTTCTCCTATTTCTTCTCCCCCCCACCCGCCTCCTCCTTCCTCTTCCTCTTCTACTTCGCCGTACTTGCTCGTCCTTGCGACCTCCTCACTTTCTTCTCCGCTCACCGCCCGCAATGCCCTTGGCGAATGCATATGACGTCTCTGTTGTTGGATGGCAGCACTCGGTATGTAAGACATTCAACGCATCCTCAACGCTCCTCAAAGAGTCCTCGTTATATCCCTCTCGTGTCGGCCGTTCACCAAATACTGATATGCTGGGATAGAAGAACTTCCGTGGATAGATTCCATGGCCCCGTCATCTTCTTCTGCGCAGGACCATGCTGACTCTCAGCCTCCGACGGTCGCTGCTTTCTCTCCTACTACCATCTCCGGCTCATCATTAACCTCGAGACAACGCTCAAGTATAATTGTACACCGCAAGTCCCCTCTTTTAGTCGCCACTCCGCCTCAGATAACCCGCGCTTTGGCTTATTCGCACCCCTTTATTCTACCCTTAAATAAGCTCGTGGGCTTGCTCACATGGACAACTGGGGACGGATGGCAGAGCTTCTTACTTGTGGCCGTGTTTTGGACCCTGGTCCTCTATGGCGAGGTCATCATCTTGTGGGCAGGGCCACTCTTGCTGGTGGTCGGGCTCATTCTGGGCATGTACTGGAGACGATACTCGCCCTTGTCCTCTAGGGCTCACATTGCTGAGAAACAGAGCCATCAAAGAGCCATATCTGACAGCTCTCCTCATGGCAACGAGACCCTAGATGAGATTGTCGAAACTATGAGGACATTCACAACTCGGTGCAACATACTGTTGGAACCCCTCGTGGAGCTGACCGAATTCTTATCAACGCAAAGGACGGCTACATCTGCCACCACCCGGCCAGCTCTTACTACTCTCTTCTTCCGGATCTTATTTGTGACGCCTCTCTGGATTGCTTTAACCGTCCCGCCATTGTATTTGATCACCACTCGTCGTGTAGTCATGATTTTTGGCACTATCATCATCACCTATCACTCCCGACCGGCAAGGGTCTGTCGAGTCATTTTATGGCGTTCATTGACCATCCGCAAAATCTGTTCCATGATTACTGGACTGTCTTTCTCGTCGGATGTGGAAAAGACATTATCGGCCGTGATGCAAAGTCACGGGCATGCGGTGAACATCGCCACGAGACGCCGCGGGGATTCCTCCGGCGTCCGATTCACATTCATCATCTATGAGAACCAGCGTCGCTGGCTGGGCATTGGGTGGACTTACTCTCTCTTCCCCTCCGAGCGTGCTGCTTGGACCGACGAGCATCTGAATCCGGTACCTGCAAAGGACGAATTTGAGCTGCCTGGCGTTCAAAGTGGGAATGTACAGTGGCGGTGGGTAGATGGCAGCGAGTGGCATATCGAAGGGGCCGATGACCAAAATGGACACTCCGATGCCAAGTCCTCTGACGGCGGGGGGTGGATCTACTACGACAACAAGGCAAGTTTGGTTCCTTGGACTCGATTCCAACCCAGGCAGTCTAGCTAATCTTCTGCAGTGGAATGAGGGTCGCCGTGGCCAGGACGGCTGGGACCGATACACCCGTCGTCGGAAATGGTGTCGCGACGCTGAACTCGTTGAAGTGCCTTCTGCAGCAGCCGAGGGCACATCTACAGCAGTGACATCCGGTCTGTCCCAAGCCTTGGAGGCAGAGAAACAGAAAAAGAAACCAACCGGCACCGTGGATGCGCATCCGGTGGGTAGTAGCGGTGGATGCGATACCGATAGCCTGGCCCCCTCGACCTCCTCCAAGTCACGGAGACGCCAATGGTTCGGGAGCACGAAGAGTGTAAGCGACATCAAGAACAGCAGCTTCTCCTCTGCTCCATCAACCTCCATCAACAACTCCTCCGTTGATCTTGGAAGAATAACGTCTGCCAATAGTACCAATCCACCACCATTCGGGAGAGCCCCTTCCAGGCCGATTAATATCTCCCACTCTCGAAAACTGTCCAACTATTCCGGCACCGCCAGTTACAGCAGCAGCCAGGGACCAGACGGTAGCCTCCGAGAAAAGGAAATCACTCGAGCGCAGGATCAGCTGGATCGATGGGCTGCCCGAGCGGCAGGAGGAACCGAACGGGCAGAGCGAGAATTGGGGCTAGGCGACGAGGTGAATATGGGATTGAGCTGATCTCAGTTTACAAATCCGTTACGAAGCATCGTGCACAGACCTTTCAGATTGACCATTGAGTGAAGCATCTGGCTTTTTATGACGCCCATTAGTTGAGTTTGGGCCTCTTGGGCGCTTCGACCATCTTTGTTCTGTACTTACGCCACGACGACATGAAGATACCCTTACAATTCTAGCCAAATATAACAATCGTGCTGGTGATTCAAACTTTGGCGTCGTCGCCCATCATCATTCTATCATCTGGCTAAAAGATAATCGTATATGCCTTGGACTCATAAAATTGTTCATTATGGGCATACATCTCCGCCTCCGGAGGTCCATACCCTCTCCAAAATCAATCTCCCATATCAAGCGAGTATGAGATCCCACTGTAATTGATCCAGCAAGTCCAGCCAATGCACTCCTTCCATAGCCCATAGAGCTTGTAGCATCTCCTTCGCTCGTTTAACATTCCCAATCCCGAAGTTGACCTCAAGGCTACTCAAGCATGTCATGATAAGCTCTTTATCATCGGGTACCCTGATCTCGCAGCCCGCGATGAGCAAAGGAAATGTGAGCGCCGAATATTCGCAGTGGGCATCGAGGGGTGAGGCCGTTCGGATCCTGTCCAGAAGCATCTGCAGGGCATCCGACCTCGTCATAGTGATCAAAGCTGACCAAGGGCCTGCAGTGAAGGTGGTTTTCATACCCTTGCTCATCTTCTCCAGTATTGAATGGAGGTAGATGTATGCCGCATCGCGGAAACAATTTGCGACCATGCGGAGGCGACAGAGGTTCATTTCTGTGATACCCTCGGGAATTATGTACCTTATGTCCTGATGCGTCCAATCATGCAGTAGGGTATCACTGGGGGTATGTATCAGCTATATATGCACGTCTGTGGGGTCGAAAGTATGATGGGTGGGGAGAGGCTATAGAGAAGTAGGCGGCTCACATTGCATGAATTTCGATTCCCAAAGCTACAGGGTCATGGCTCAGGGAAGGTAGATCAGCGATCCTCGCGCAGAGTTTGACAAGATCTTCCGCGTAGCCAATGTATATATCGAGCTTGGTGATCCTGACGTCCTCCATATCAAGCATGCTGGAGGTGATTTGCTTGCGATTGCTGATTTTAGCAACGTTATGAGCATAAATGTAGCTATTATTTTTTGTCAGTATTGCCTTTTTCTCGATGAGACTGACGACATACAAGCCCATCAGGAACTCCCGGGTATCATGATTCAAAGCCCCAAACCCACCCCGTGCAATGACTAGCTTCTGAAGAGCATTCAGATGCGCGACCCACTGCTTAACGCTTCCACGGACAATCTCGTATTTGCAGAGTAAAGCCACCGCGAGAATAGCTTCATCAGGAAATCTTCCAGTGGGATACTCTGAGAGCACAGATTGCAGCCCATTCAGGGTTTGAATGTAATACATTGTGGCAGCAGTTTGGGCTTCTGAATGGGCAGCTATTCGATTCGCACAATGCGTCGCTGATACTGCGCATAACGCTTTCATAAGGAGCGAAGATGATAGGGCCCGAGGAATGATCAGAGACCGCAAAGGGTTGTCGGCGCTCTCAAGGTTTGCGAGTAACTTGGAGCCGAGCTCCATGTGGTATTGAAGATAGTGCGTTTCTGAGTGCGAAAGATGACTGAGGGATTTACAGGGTGTGAGTGTCATTATAGAGAGGTCACCATTCTCGGCAGTGGTATGTGCTGGCATCTGGTCAACCTCATCCATAGTGTCATCGACGTTCGATAAACACGTATCGCTATCACCGGGATCTGAGAATGTGGTAGGGGTAGTTGGTTGGTAATGTAGCCATAAGGAGCTTGAGCATGGGGAGCTCGCACTTGCTCGTCCCAAGGAGGATGAGGAAATGGAAGACGATGTGCTAAGTCTCCTGCGCTTTGTTGGTTTTGTTTGACTGAAGACCTGTGCTGACGGGTTCAAGGGCTCTGCCCATATTGAGCCATATCCCTCACACTGTAGCCCTAATCTAGCACAGCTACGACATCTGATAAACGAGTTCAGTCAGTGACAAGGAAGGTAATCACCACTAGACATACCCAGGCTTAGATTCGTCACATCTTTTCCGGCGACTTTTACATGTCAGACAGCCAGTGCGTGTCCATTTCCCGCCCTCTCTCCTGCATCTTCTCTTACTAACGACCTGAAATTGTGCCTCCAATGGGTTTGCAGCCGCGTGAGGTAGTGGTCGGTCTCCAGCCATAGTGTCGTCCCACATTATGAGGCTAGCATGGGCGAAAGCCCGAGGACCGATAGGAATGAAACGCTGAGCTTTGGCGGTGTACTGAGTGAATGAATGTTGTACAAGTTCTATGTCAGAACTGGTCCGATTGATTTAGCAGGGAGAGAATCCCCACAAGCACGTATCAAATACTCATATGGACTCGCTCTTTGAGGCACAAGATCTAACCAATGCAGGTAGCATCGAGGCTAGTATCTTCAGATTCAGATACTGATCGAAAGTGGCGAGGGGGGGTGACAGTGAGCGAGAGTAGTGAGTTGAGTTAGTTATGGATTGATGACACGGCGGAGATGGATTTCCTTGATGGCACTAAACTGGAAAGGGTAAGTGATGCGCCCACGTTATCGCCTGGGCTTCCCCTCTTGGGATTGCCAAGGGAGACCCGTGACTACTGGGTGGACAGTACAGTACAGAAGGTACCTAGTACTGCGTAAGTACAGCGGAGTACAGCCTGCTCAAAAAGAATTGACGCTACTCATCACCAGACGAAGATAGTGGCGTCGGCTCTTTTGATTTCCCGTAGTAACGTTAGTACGGAGTATACTGGTTGTAGACTGGGTGTAGATACGTAGTCAGTAAGTAGACTGATAAGAGCGCCAGATAAAGGAAAGAGTGGGACGAATATTTCTTATCGCCTCTGGAATTTCTCGCACCCCTCGGGCTCCGAAGAGCATCATGCCAGGTACGAGAAACCATACCGTGTGACTAATGAAATTGCCGTGTATGATGATGATGATGATGATGATGATGATGATGATGATGATGCTCATCCTCGCAGTCTATGAGTAGCTGGAATAGCCGCGGTGGGGAGAGCGAAAGAGAAGCGAGAAGAGCGATTGAAGGATGATGTTTCATCGGCGAGATAAACGCTTCCCCCCACTTCCCCCCACTACCCCCAGCCTACTTTCCGCTTTAGGCAAGTCCATCCAGACTCTCCCATGGTCAATAATCTTCAATCTCCTTGATGTGGAAGCTCTGGATCAACTCAACGCTACTACAGCTATTGCTGCTGCTGCTGCTTGCGAAATGTGGAAAAAGAACCTTTGGAACTACTTAAAGGCCCTTCAATATCCTCCTCCTCCCTCCCTCAATGGTCAAACCAGTACTTTTCTTCTGGTTCCTTAATACAACCCCAAGATGTCTCTCGCAACTGAACCCAGCCCTCGATTGAGTGCATCGAGTGGCCCTCATCCCTTCGATCCCGTCACTCCGCGAGAAATCAGACTAGCGGTTCGAGTTTTGGAAAATGCTTTCGCTGGTGTCAAGCTTCGCTACAATCGGATCGATATTCACGAACCCATCAAGCATGAGGTTGTCCCATACATTGAAGCCGAACGTCTAGGACAGCCCCTACCGCGCAAGCCCACCCGCCTCCTATACTCATACTTTCATCGCCTCGATACTCTTGAATGTTGCAAGGCGCTCATCAATGCTGACACCGCGTCAATTGTCTCGACTAAAGTGCTCCCCAAGACCGTTCAGGTATGCGCATCATCATTTACGATAATCTTTGTATTGAGCACTGACATTGATGTGCATACAGCCTCCCGTCGATATCGATGAACTTGCTGTGATTGAAGAAGTCTGCATGAAGCACCCGGCTGTGCAGGCAGAGATCGCGAAGCTTAACTTGCCCCCGGGAATGGCTGTGTGCAATGATCCATGGATGTACGGCACTGAGAACCAGACTGAGACACGTCGGATGTTCCAATGCTTCATGTACATGATGGAAGTCGACCACCCTCAAAATAACCACTACTCCCTGCCATGCAAATTCTCTCCCGTCTTCGACGCCTTTACCCACGAATTGATCCGCATGGACTATCTACCAGGAGGCGATGGTCATTCATTCACTGAAACGCAGCCTTGGAAGCCTGTCAAGGCTGTGCAATATGCTCACGATCTCCTTGATGAGCCTGTTCGCACGGATCTCAGACCTTACATTGTCCAGCAACCAGAAGGTCCCTCTTTCAACGTGGACGGCAACTTTGTTTACTGGCAAAAGTGGCGTTTCAGGGTCGGCTTCAACAACCGGGAGGGTATGGTTCTGTACAATGTCACATATGACAATCGCAGTGTTTTCTACCGTCTCTCGGTCTCGGAGATGACGGTGCCCTATGGAGGTGGGATTTAACCCCAACGTACCTGTTCAAAATTATCGCTAATCTGATCCGCATAGACCCTCGCGCCCCTTATCACCGCAAGCAGGCCTTTGATGTTGGCGATGTTGGTTTCGGTCTCAACGCCAATCAGCTCTCGCTCGGCTGTGACTGCTTGGGCCACATCAAATACTTTGATGGCTACCGAGCCGACTCCAAGGGCAACCCAGTCCTGTTAAAGAACATTATCTGCATGCACGAACAGGACAACGGTATTCAACATAAGCACACCAACTACAGAACTAATGCGGCAACAGTTGTCCGCAATCGTCAGCTTGTTATGCAGATGATCTGCACTGTTGCTAACTATGAATACATCTTCGCCTACATATTCGATCAGGCGGCCAACGTCGAACTTGAAGTCCGTGCTACAGGCATTCTGTCTACGGTACCGTTTGATAACGAAGACGGCAAGACTGTTAGATGGGGTACAAATGTTGGCCCCGGTGTTATGGCTCCCTACCATCAACATATGTTCTCGTTCCGGGTTGATCCCGCCCTCGACGGCTTCAAGAATACCGTCTTCTATGAGGACAGTGTCCCCTTACCCGAGGATGACCAGAACCCCTATTTTGTGGGATACACTACTCAGCAAACTGTCATCAGCAAGTCCAGCGCCGCAGATCTTGATATCAGCCGAAGCCGAGTTTTCAAAATTCGCAATGACAGCAGCATCAACCCTATCACTTACAAGCCCGTGGCATACAAGCTCCACGCCGCACCCAGCCAAATGCTGATCCAAAGCAAGAACTCGATCGGACATCAACGGGCTGAATTCGCTACACGGCCCGTTTGGGTCACAAAGTACCGGGACGAGGAACTTTACGCGGCAGGCGAGTTCACGAATCAAAGCCACCGCGCAGACGGCGTAGAGACATGGGTCAAGAGAAACGATCCAACCGAGAATGAGGACGTGGTTCTCTGGCACAGTAAGTTCCCCCTCCAATGTGTATCGCACCACCTTGAGAAAGTACTGTACAATGGACTAACATGCCATCCTTCTGTAGCATTCGGACTGACCCACAACCCCCGCATTGAGGACTTCCCCGTCATGCCCATGGAACGTATCAGCGTCATGCTGCGTCCCGACGGCTTCTTCACCAAGAACCCCGCCGTCGATGTGCCGCAGTCATCTCAGGCCTTCAACAAGTCAACTCTTCACCCGGAAGCAGCGGCCGCGGCGTCTTGCTGCTCGGGTGCGGGAGGCAGCAAGGCGAAGCTGTATAAACGACTAGACTGAGAAACGCCCGCGAGCCTGGAGGATGGCCCTTTTGATCTAGACTTTCGCCTTCATTGGCGAAAGCATTGTATGATTCATGACTACACATACCGCCATCTGGCGTTTCGAGCAATGTAAATAAGAATTTCGTTTCCCAAATGTTACAACTAAGCCTTCGACGCTTACAGATTTGAAGAAGTCAATACCCGTCTTACAACCACAGTCGCATTCATTTGTGTCTCATTAATACATGCTGTTCTGATTTGAAACACAGAGACTCTGTCTGAGCCAGACTGGTTATATAAATCAGAATCATTGTACGTAACTTAAGTTCGTCATTTCTGTGAACCCCGCCCACACATTCGTGTCCCATAAACAGACCCCTTATCAATTTCCAAACCATTTTCATTTCTGCACCTCATTATTCCTTAGGTCTCCACCTTGAAGAAAATTCATGCAACCATATCCATTTTCGCCAGGTCATTCAAATTCTGCGTCTTCAACAACCAGAAACCAGGAAATCTGTCAAGTCGAGGCACCAGAAGGGCCTACTGCATAAGTGTTGGAGTACCCCTTCAAGCCTTCTTAGGCACGTGAGCGCTGGGGACAACACCGTGGCCAACATTGTCGATAGCGGACTGGCGGGCGCCGGTGAGACCGAACTGACGATTAATGCCCTCGACACGGTGAGTGGAGTTGATGTTCTTGACAAGAGTAAGCTGCCAGCAGGTAGCTCCACCCTGGCGAGAGGTGATGGTAGAGTAGGCCAAGAAGTACTCCCAGATCTGCAAACGCTGGTCAGTCATGTGCGGTGGTGATCATTGAGGAAAGTCACGAACCTTGAACCATCTCTTTCCGTACTTGGCCTCGACCTTGTCACGGTTACCCATCCAGTTCCGGTACCAGCGCCAAAGGGTGGCAGAGTAGTGGACGCCAATGGTGTCGACAGCCTTGATCTCAAATCCGGCGGCCTCCAGTCGATCAACGACAAAACCAAGGGGGGTGCTAGCGTCGGCTCCGGGGAAGATGTACTTGTTCATGAAAAGACCCCAGATCAGATCCTCATACTGCCAGGACTTACGCAGACCAGCAATCTGAAGGAAGAAGACACCGTCATCATCCAACATTTCGTAGACCTGAGACAAGAAAGTAGTGAAGTGACGAACGCCGACATGCTCAGCCATTTCCAAGCAGGTGATTTTCTTGTAACCTCCGTCCACCCGGGGGGCGTCACGGTAATCGAGGCACAGGATACGGCTCTGAGATTCCTCAACACCAGCATTGCGAAGACCCTTGTTACCCCAAGCAGTCTGGTTACGACCGAGGGTGATACCAGTGACCTGAGCGCCATAGTGAACCGAAGCATATTTGGCCAGAGTACCCCAACCGCAACCGAGGTCGAGGACGGTGTCACCGGGTTGAATGCCAATCTTTTCACACACCACAGCCAGCTTGTTGTCCTGAAGCTCCTCAAGAGTCTCCTCACGGTTGATATCGCTGATGATTCCAGAGGTGTAAATCATGCGAGGACCCAGGAACCAAGCATAGAAGTCATCGCCACGATCGTAGTGGTCACGAACCTGTTCCTCATCTGATTGACGCATCTACAGTCAGCAACCTAGTTTCCCCGAAAATCAAATGACGCCTGGTCACTTACCCTGGGAACGAGTGTGCATGATCATCTCAGGAATGAAACCGAAGAGGAAATGCTTGAAGAGACCCATGGTGAAACGGAAATTGGCCCAGTCGTGACGGAACTCGAGGGCTTCCAGGGCGTCACACTTGAATTCCACCTCACCGTTGAAGTACTTTTCATAGAAAACCTCCATGGGAATCTTGCTCTTGCCACGATAGGCAGCGCGATCATGCTCGCTGTGGAAGCTGAGGTAGTACTCGACGGGGCGACCGGCATACTTGGCCTTTTCGTTCTTGCGGGGAGAGATGGAAGAAGCTACAGACCAAAAGGCCATGAGAATGGGGATAGTGGTGAAGATAGCAAAGAAGATGGTGGTGTAGAAACCACCGCCAACTTGGCGAGCGAAGTACCATGGGATCAGCAACAAGAGGGCGAACAACAGAGTGTTGGAGAAGCTATCGCTGCCGGGGGAATCGGCCGGTACAGGGGCATTTTTAATGGCCGGGTACTAGGTAACAGGGAAACCATTGACAGTCAGTGTTTGATTTCCACGGCTCTGAGGTCTCATTGGAATGAGAAGAACAAGAATTGCCAGAGGATAAAAGAAGGGAGACAGCAAAGCGACTCACGGAGGTCGTCCGCACACCACAGTCATCAGCGGGAGTGATGCACGAGGCGGAAGGAGTTTCGATGTACTCGAAGTCCTCAAGGGACTCTGGATGTACAACCGTCATGACGGAGGAGACGAATTGACAGGATGAGGGGGAATTGAGAGAGAAGAGAGAAGAGAGGAGGGGAGGAGGGAAGGAGGGAGGGGGGGGGAGGGGAAGGGAAATAAAAGAGGTGGAAAGAGGAAGAGGACGAAAGGGAAGGATGGGAAAAGAGGGAGGGAGAGCGGCGAGTGTCTGGACGGCAGCGGGAGTGGATGTGGATGGATTGCTAGATTGGGGAGGAGCAGCATCGGATCCCTTTCATTCCAATTTATCACTCGACTCCATATGGTACAGATTGTGTAGGTGCGTCTCTACATTACACGTCAAAACAATTCCTAAATTGGTCTTTCACCAATTGGTAGCCATAAGCTATGCTTAAAGATGGTTCTGCTTGGTAGTTACCAATTGTTGAACAACAATAGTCAGATGTATTGATAAAAGCTCCAGGTACGGAGTACAACATGTACAGTGCCCAAGTTACGCCAAAGATAGCTTGACTTCATTTGGGTCTAGTGCTTCGTCAGTTGTTCTAGGGCTGTTCGCAAGGGTGAAAGAGAATGAGAAAGAGAGAGAGAAGCGGTGAGAAGAGGCTGGTGGTCTTCTAAGGTCTAATCTGATGTCTTTGGTGAGGCTAGACTGTTGCAAGCTCCTGGTCAAGGTACACTACCAATACTAGGTAACTATTTATTATTATTATTATTATTGCTCCAATTATGCGCCCGGCAGGGAAATCCGATGGAGATTGAGGTTCGGGACCCAGACCGATGCATCCACGGTAAGCACACACCGTCACACACACCGTCACACCCTGCTGAAACGCTGCCAGGCGAATAACCAGCCGCATCGTATTCTTAGTAATGGGTGTCGTGGCCACTCAAAGTGCTTCTCCATCGTCTGATGACGACTGATTCCGAGGATACCGTGTCCATTCAGATAACATTACTGTACATACTTTTTTTTAGTATGTGCAGTAGTCAGTTACTGTACATAAAGATTACTTAAGTTGATGCATGCTGGATGCACCTAATGCTACTATGTACATGCTACTCGTACTCAGTAACTTAATGGCCTGGCCTGTCGATCTCTTTAGCTCCCATTTCCCCGCGTCATAAAAAAGTCTCATAAGCTAAATGCTGCATGTAATCATAATCATCAAATCACTTCATACAAAACGCCCCTGGAAACCTTCCACGCTGCGGTCTGCACATGGATTATTTGCCCACCATGGTTTGTTCAACAATAGAATCGCATCAACCACAGAGTAAAAAGCAGACGGACCAAAAGCAAGCACCATCTGAAACACCGTGCACCCACCGAAACAATAATAAACCCACCCAGACACCGAAGCCTCTCCTTGGAATGTAGGCCTTTGTTCCATTATGCTAATCTGCTCTCACAGCGTCAATTGAAAATCCTGAGCTTCCACATCTTCATCGTAAACTGGAAGGTCCTCTTCAGCAACCAAGATGGGAAGTCCATCGGCCAAAGACAACGTGCCAGAAGGATGCAAGTAAGTCTCTGGAGATAAAATGCCCTTCGGGGCCGGGTCCTGCTCGACGGGGGTAGCTGTTCTGCTACTCATCTTAGATGATACCTCGCGGCCTCGAGTGTACCCCAGAGTCGTTTTGGAATTGGCTTCAGCTGCGGTGTGATGCATGCTTGACGGGCTGTCTGGGGCTCGGGGCGTTTTGGTAGGAAACAAGGACGTGGCAATCCTTGTCCTTGGTTTGGCCAAAGCAGCTGATCGGGTGCGGGGAACCGATCGGTATGTCCCCGAGAGGGCGGTAGCGGCATCACGAGCACGTACGGTGGAAACATTGCTGGTGCTTTTGGTAAGGCCCGCAGTCGCTCTGGTACGGCGGGTTCCGACACGGCGGTTCACCGTCTCTTCCACAGCAGGCTCCTCCAGTTGTTCTGTTTCAGACGGCTCTTCGAAACTGATACTCTCAACCTGCTTCAGGATCATATCATCGATCAGTTTGTCACAGGCTGCCGAATCTTTCTGGAATTTGCGCTCTCTTCTAGTCAATCCATCAGGTCCGATTTCATTATCAGCCCCATACACGCTTTCCAACCCGCGTGCAAGGTTCCTCCCTTGAAACTGAGGGAACGTGGTATCGTAGGTAATTTCCTCAGGGTAGTCCGGAAGATCTGCTGCTGTTAGATACCATAGATTGGTACTAGTAAGTGAGTAACCAACCTTTAGGCTTGGGCGGCATGTACTCAATATCGGGAACGTCATCCTGCACATGCTTGGTGTGTGTTTCTGGCTGCGCCTGTTCGATGAAAGGGGAGAACTTCTTCACCCTCTGGGTCGAGCCCCTTTTGAGAGACTTCTCTGGCTTTGCGGTGCCTCCGGGCGGGGCGGGGGTCTGTAGGCCTCTAGCTTTGGCATTGGTGGTTTTCATGCCCAAGGGGGCGCGTTGACGGGGGTCAGCTGGAAACAAAACGCGTCATATCAGTACATGGATCAGCTTCTGCTGTAGGGATAAAGCATCTCTGCCATACCTAGTGGGGTCATAAAGGCATCTTTGATGCTTTCCTTCTGTTTACCTGCTCCCTTGACAGTCTTTTTTCCGAAAGCCAGCGGATCATTTTCGTCGTTCAATGGAATCTTGAAGGGCGTTTTGGGTGCTCGCGCTACGGGTGTCTTCGGCTGTAGGCGTCTCAAGCCCTGATTCATGGGTTTTGATGCGGCGACCGTTTGGTGATTATGCACCAGGTTCTCTTGGTCGCGAAGAGCCAACATGGCGGCGGCTTACGAGTCACGACAGCGCATTCAAAGGCGAGAACCCGGATCGGTGTGAATCTGTCGAAGTGTCGAAGTGTCGAATACGAAGACCCTTGCCAGCAACGAGTCTGGGGCAAGAGATGGCTGTCGAGCAGTCGAAGCGATTCTAGACGCGGACATGACGAACAGCCAGGATGGGGGGGGAAGGAGGTGAGAAAGGGTGTTTGCGAGGCGGTTGCCCGTGGAGACGGGGCTGGTGAAAGGGGAAAGCCACACCGTGGTTCTACGGTCGCCTGCCCGTCAGCCACGGCCCCTATACCAGATCGGCTAAGACCCAACCCGCTAGTTGTGCTAGCGGCTGACCGCCAGCGCCAGGCCAGAAAGTCAACCTTACCTTAAGGCCTCCTCCTCCACTTCCCTTTCTTTCCTCCCTATTATTCCCATCTGTTCAAACTATCTTCTTGCATCAATCACTTCTCTGTCCTCTTTCCCTGGTTTGTCGCTGAGCGAAAGCCTGTTGTTGCTGCTTACATCCTACTCTCTTCCACTTCGTACATATTTCCTCGTTGCAAATAACTTACTCAAAATGGATAAGATTAAGGAGGTGAGTGTCAACCTGTCCCCCTCTTACCCCCCCTGTTGGCGGGGTAGCTTACAACCTACTGCCCCAAATGTCCACATGCACACCACCTATGGTCTTGCCTCAACATCTTGATCCTGCATATTTCTGCTGCAGGATAGTTCTCATAAATGGAAAAAAGCAAAATTAACTTTCCTGAGATGCACACTGACCTTGGCTGGTCTAGAGAATGAACAACCTCCGCCTGGAGGCTGAGGAGGCTCAGGAGAAGGTCGAAGAACTCAAGACCAAGGTGAAGACGTTGGAGCAGGAGAACTTGGCCAAGGAGCAGGAAATTACATCCCTCAACCACCGGAACCAGCTTCTGGAGGGTGAGGTGGAGAAGCTTGAGACTGCCCTTAAGGAGGCCAAGGACGCTGCCAACCAGGGTGCTCAGCACGATACCCAGAACGAAGCTCTCCAGAGACGTCTCCAGCTTCTGGAAGAGGAGGCCGAGGATGCCGACAAGAACTTGCGCGAGACGAACGAGAAGTATGTACTACCCACACCCTTTGCCTATATAGATGAGGGGAGGTTGATGCTGACTACCTTGGTACTTCTCAAGGCTCCGCCAAACCGACGTCAAGGCTGGTCACTACGAGCGCAAGGTGCAGGCTCTCGAAGCGTCTCGCGACCAATGGGAGAGCAAGTATGAGGAGATGGCTAAGAAGTACGCCGAGCTGCAGAAGGATCTCCACGAGCTCGAGGTCTCCATTAGCAATGTCTAAAGGCCAGGGTGGCGCAGAATACCGGCAACAGGGGGCCCCAGCTTTTTTTCCTACATATACTATCCTTTTAGCTTTCTATCCCTGCACACCACAGCCTGATTTCTTTCGTTCCTGTCGGCAGGAAGCGGCTTTGGCAGTCTCTGTCCGTCTTGTCATCTAGCTGGCTTTGTTATTGTTCCCATCAACCGGTTTTCCGCTCGTCCTCGCAACCTTGTCTATTCTTCCACTCGACGTCAAACATTTCATCGTTACCAGAAGGTACATAGAGTATATTTAATAGGAGTGTCCATGTGCATTATCACCATCTGTTGATTAAATTCAAGTCAAGTCCACTCACGATCGCTCGCGTCGGGCGTTTGCCTTCCTCGATTTAGATGCGCGCTCCTTCATTCTGGTTACCTTGCGCTCTTCCTTGCTTTCGTAACGGAACTTTTTCTTCTTCTTCTTGGGCTTGTTGTCCGCCTTTCGCTTCTTGCTTTGTTCGGCAGAGGGGTTGGGATCGGCAGTTGCTTTGGAGCCTGCCTCCGATTCTTCGTTTTCAATGTCTGATTCGTCGACCGCTGATCGCAAAAGTCCTTCCTTGGAAGTATCCATTTCCTCTACCGTCACCGTCGTATATTTGTCTTCGTCGATATATTCAGCTTCGTAGTCGACGGCGGGGGGTTCCGTGAACCCCTCCCAATCCTGATCCTCAACATCCTCGTCCTGGCTGTCCTGATCAGATCCATCGCTGCCCTCTTCCACTGCCTGCAGCTTTTTGAGCTGTCTCTGATGTTCTTCGATTGCACGTTGGAAGCCAGCAGTGCGTTCTTCCCGAATCTGAGTAGGCGTTGCAATTAGCCTTGGTTGAGCGGCCTTCCACGGCGATTGCACACAAGCATAGTAATTCTTACCCTCTTGCGCTCCTCTCTCTTCATCTCTTTCGCTTTCTTGATTGCCACTTCTTGTGCATGTTTGATTCTTTGTTGCTTCCGCTTGCGAAAGCCTGTAAGAAACGATTCGCGGTCAGCAGCGTCGAAGTTGATCTCCTCGACTTTGCTGGCGACCTTTCTTCTTTTGGCTTGAGGACCCATTGTCGTGGGTGGCAATGGGTGTGGCAGTCCAAAGGATATTGATAATGTATAGCGAAATGAAAAAAAATAAAAGCGATCTCAATCTTTCAAAACTTGCGCAGCGGAGTGACCATGCGATATTTCCGTGGGGGAAAATTGCGATCTAGAGCCCGGCATCTAACTTGTAAAGGAGGCTAAATAGTGCCCGTGCCGAAGTCGACCGCCTCCGAGCCGGCGGGCCATCACACCTGGCTCTAACATCATTCATTCATCTGGGGCCCTTCCGAAGAGCACTGCATCTATTTGGATAACTATATTCACCCAACCATCATGCGCTTGGGAGCTCTATCATTGCTCGCTCTGGGAGCGACTACAACCAGCGCATTCCACGATACTTCTCCCTTTTTTCTAGCGTCGACCTCGGAGTATGCACAACCAACATTGCGCGCAGGCGAACCTTCAGTATCCGAGAAACGAGTCAGCTAACAGCTCCCTTAGGAATCTTTCTGCCTCAGCACAGCTTAAGACTGCTTCTTCGCTACTGGAGGATCTCTCCTCGAAGCTTTCTGGTTGTCCTTCCGACTATTATGTTATTGCTTCCCAACCCGGCGTCCACAGCAACGACTTCTCTACACTCAAGTCCGCACCCCGCCTCGGCGCGAAATTGACTGGAAAGGATCACACCATCCGCTCGAGGACAATCATAAACGAAGTCGTTGGAGTTCTAGAAGCAAGGAAGGTGCAAGAACTTATAGAAGCGGAGTGTGGAGCTCAATCCACCATCATTGACGACTCCTGTAAGCACCTGGATCTGGGCAAGCTGCACAGGACAACCCGGGCTAACTCTCTTTCTCTTAGCTGGTATTTACTCACCCGACTTTGGCGCTGAGCCCCGTGTGATCCGCCTCGACTTCCCTGTGCTTCCACAGGGAGCTGATCGCCGCCTCCAGCTTTCAGATAATGGTCTGTATCCAAGCAATCTCACCTTGATTCTCTCCCGAAACACGGTACTAACAGCTTTGACAGATGGCCTTCTTTCCGACATCATCGAACGGCTACCGGATTCCAAGAAGTACACTGTTCTCTACATCACTTCGCCTAGGGAGAAATTGAGCTCTGAAACCGGTGTTTACCAATCTGAGGATGCTTCCTACCAGGATCCCCTCCACATGGATTTGAAGCGGGACTTCTCGGCACATGGTCTTGGGGATGATGCCCCCTCAAACAAGACGCTTTTCCGCGAATACCACTATTTCACTCCAGGTATGTGTAGAGTACCCCAGGCCATGAACCACTCCCATCTGACAGCAAACAGGCATCATTATGGGGCTGATGGCCTCCTTTTTCTGTCTTCTGATCTTGTATGTTGGCCTCAGTGCTCTCCTGAGCCTCGAGGTTCCGTACGCGGCGTTTGAGAAGGACATCTCCGCCAGTGTGCAGAAGAAACAGCAATGATTTGTTCTTGATCTCTTGCGGAAGACTTTGCTTGAACGTGTCTAGCTTTTTGATTTTGTTCTTTTAAGCACAGTATATTTTGGTTTTGAAATTCACTGCATATTTGTATGCTGGCGTTTCATCTTCTTTATGCGATAAGTCATGATGCTGTACGGAGTGCGATGTATGCTATATTTGGGTGCATGTCCCTGGATCTGGATGTTATCGATAATAGCCACGTGACTGGATGGAATGCGGGCATTTGGAGGTCAAGATGCGATTACGGTTCAGCTCAATTTGATAACCAATTGATACTTGGGCTTTTCGTCCCCTGGTCTTGCTAGAGCATCGGAAGGGCTCCTACTCCTACTTACTCAAATCAATTACCCGCCGATTCATGAATGGCCATAAATAGCACCTGTATCTCCATCACGTGATAGCCTAAGTAAGGCAGGGAGGGACGCCGGTCCAGACGGCCGAACACGGGGCAGCCCACCCACACCACAGCCCCCCCCGTATTCCTATTGCCTCTTCTTTTCTCTGCTGATTATGTGTTATCGTCCGTTGTCGTTGCACTTGTGTATCGTGAATTTTTACCGCGCCCACTCGCTTGCCCATATTCCTTGACTTTCGCTACTCAGCATGGCTCTTTTTTGATATTACTGTCTAGTCTCTGCCTAGTCGTTCGTTAAGACTGCTGACGATCTGATCTTGTTCGCTTCTTTGCTGATCTTGGACCCTCTTCTGCTGGGTGGAGACTCGCCTGATAGTGCTCCCCCTCATCCCCGTCGTGTCTTTGGAGACAGCCGCTGTTGATGGGCTCAGTCTGCAGGAACGTTCGTTCTCATATGCTTGTTGTGGCTATGCCCAGTTACGTTCTGCGCTAGCCATTCAACGCACTTATCGACATCGCACCCTATTGAAGATCTACCTCTTAGCAGTTTGCGATTACCACCCACAATCATGGTTGCTCTGTTCAAGGGCATTGGGAGAGCCCACCGGCCTTCTTTCACTCTACTTCTTGTGTTGTTCGTTATGCTTGTTGCTCAAATATCCGTAGCCCAAGATGTGACCACGGATGATAATACTACAACCACCACAAGTGTGAGCTCGACAGCAGAATCGACTACAACTTCATCATCGTCGTCGTCGTCGTCGACAAGCACTACTACTAGCTCGTCGAAGAGCAGCTCCACGACATCGGCCTCGACGACATCAACTGGTACAGATACCTCATCCACGTCGACATCGGCATCCTCGTCCTCCTCAACAGATGGTTACCCCGTCGTCACTGTGCCACCAACTGCAGATGCGCCATATATGCAAAAGTCCAACATCCCGGAGGGTACCCTGTTCATCGCCGTGGGAGCAGTTCTGGGAGCTATTGGGCTTGCAATCCTAGCATGGCGCGGCATAGTTGCATGGTCTGTGAATCGTTCTGTGCGCCAAGCCGCAATGACGCGCTCGTCCGAATCGAAGGGCCTTCTGCGTTCGAAAAGAAGAAAGTCGCGCACTAGGAGGTCCTCTTCCGCGGGCCCTGGCGTCGCCCTCGACAAGCTTGGAGGAGCCGGAACTCACCAGCATCACCGTCACAGCCATCACAGCCACCGACAGCACCGAACCTCCAAGGGCCCCAGTGCCAACAGCGGGCTCTTCTTCTCACCGACCGCCGGAATGCAACACGGCAGCGGAAACCGCCGTTCGAGCTACCTCCCGGCGGGCTACTACAATGCCAACAATGTGGGAAACAATGTCCGCACTCAAGATGCGCGTTACTCAGCTGCCGACCTGACGGGGCTTGGGGGTCCTCAAGCGCAGGGCTACGTCCCGACCCGATCCGGCTCCAGTCCCCCTGAGTCCCCGGGTCTGCCCCAGTATCACGATCAGCAGGATACCCCTCCTCGTCGCAACGCCAGAAGGTCTCACGCCGAAGCTTCGACGAGCACGCTGAATCTAGCTTCCCCGCCAGCGGGAAGAACTCCCAGCGCATATTTGGAAGATCTCTTCGATAGTCATCTGCCTCAAAATCGGGACTGATCTGAGTCCCAAACTGGATGGCTGAATGTTCGAAACTACTGCCCTAATTCTTCTCAATGCGCATCTTTCATTCTAGTTCTAGAAATCTCAGTTCAGCCCTTTACCCATTTCTGTGTGCATCTTTTATATTACCCTGTTCCTCAAGTCACGCGGCATTTTTCACTTCTGTTGTGTCTGGTATAAAGTTTCTATTCTCGAACATAGTCGAATTGTCTAATAGCGAATCCTGATGAAGTAATCATTACATATCCTCTCGGCGTACCGCCCCGTACTCAATTGCCCGCGGGAGTTGGCAGGTATTTGGAGAACGTCCGACCATTCCCATATTAGTCATCTGTGGATTCGGGAGGGGTTTACCATGCCTTTCTACTGCGGGTTGGTAATGGCGTCACCTGACTGCCTCTGCGGCAGTTGATTTTCACCTTACGATAACGATTTTGAGAATGGAAGGCATCACGTGCTGTATTCTAACATGGGAGAACAAGACAATCACATGGTATCCTGATGCGAGTATGCGGGCCGCAGAGACAAAGAAATCAAGACTACGACTCGGGAACGGGTGGAAGATTCGAAACTTAGAAAACGTCTATAGATATACAATATATACGAGGCGAGGACGATCCAGAAAGCGTCTACGCCGGATAAATCAGTCCGCATCCAGCTTACCGCTGAACTCGCCGAGCAGAATATCATCCGGAGCTGGGCCGCGGCTGTTCCTGACTGTCGTGTCGCAAGGTTAGCCGTGCGTCACACAAAGAAAAGAAAACGTGGTGAAAGCAGGGAACTCACTCCACTCGGTCTCTATGCGTAGGAAGATCCACATCCATCGGCGTGCGACCTCGAGAAACATGAGGACAAAAATTCCGAATTCCGTGTCACTTAGCCAGCCGAGACCTGGCACATATCTCGCGAGCCACGAGAAGCGGATGACGAAGTCGATGCCAACGGCAACGTAGTACTGACGATCAGCGAAGAACCGGTGGCGACGGAGGCCAAACGGATACTCTGGACTGTCGCGCAAGGGCGACAGAAGGGTCAGGTCCCAATCCTTGGTGACGTCCCAGTAGAATGAATATGCGGAGTTGGTTAGAGTGCAGAGAAACCTAGTGACGCACGAAGATTAGCCTCCAACTAGTCGGTCTGCGGCTCAGGCGATTAGAGATGCTTACAAAAGTCGTGAGAGACCGGTCTCTCTGATTCCATAGAACTCCAGGGGGTTATAGTTCCTCAATTTTGCCGTGAGCATGATGACGGGAAATGCGGTAGCGTATTTCAATGCGTTAGCCAGATGTTGGCCCCCCGTGTTCCCATTCTTGTGACCGCCTTGCCATACACGGAAGTACTCGATGAGACACTGACGTAGGCGGATCATACTGGGAATGGAGATGACAAGTGGAATCAGGTAGTCGTTCCCACATTTACGATTCGGTTTCGATGTACTGCCCAGATCCCCGGTGAAGAACATGCAGAAGGAGACAACCAGATCTCCTAGAACTTTCGAGTAGCTTGTCAAGGCATCAGCCAGGAGAATGTCCCCAAACTTGCCATCTTGGGGCTGCGCCAATCCACCAACACAGATGCGCTTCAAAGTAGTGAACAGGCGGAATCGGCCTGAGCGCGCGACCCGTATGAAGGGCTGAATCAGAATGATCGCGGCAATGAAGAAGTATGATTGCGGGATGTAATCCAACGACTCGACACGTTGTCTGGAACCGTGGGTGACGGGCCAGAAGATGAGAAGTGATATCACGAGAGGAATGGTCAGGAGAGTAGCTAAGCGGTAGGCGGAGATGTAATGAGGTGGATGGCTAGCTGACTGGCGGTGGGGGTATCGAATGAGAGAGGGAACGTCCTGGAGGATATTAGACAAGATGTCATGAGAAGGAAGGACTAGGATAGAATGAGATGGGGGGGGATTAACCTACAATATTCGCTTTTGAGAGATACTGCAGATTGGCACCCCATCCCCAGAACCCTGTCAGGAACAATTAACATCGATCGAACAGGGTTGAAGATAAGAGAACAATTAATATTGAATAATTAGCATACCAGCCAGTAAGATTACCGCCACGCGCGAGGGGAAGGGAAGGAAAAGACTGAAGCCATCCAATTGAGCATGCTGATCAGGACCCATATTCCATTGAAGTAGCGGCGCCGGTTTCTGTTAGCACCTGGTGCCTGCGAAATAGGGAGATTAGGTCGAGGACTGGGGGATTGCAAGGGAAGTAGATCCCGGGAAAGAGGAATGAGAAAGCCAGCAAGGTATGGAAGCAGAGAAGGAGGGGGAGAAAAAAGAAGAAGAGGAGGAGGAGGAGGTACTCAGGGTGAGTTTGACGAGCACGAATACTCAATCACTCAGTCAATTCAATTCAATCATGACCGACCCGCAAAGGTGAACCTCACAAAAGACCAGACAAAAAGAAGCTCAGGGACGGTTTCAGTCTCGACTGACCAGCGGCTCCGCGCGGCTTCTCGGGTTTAGGATGCGTACTGGGTCCCGCTTTCGGTCTAGCGGCGCTTCTTGGCGCTGGCTTCCAATTTTAGCTGCATCGGTCAGATCACGTGAGCACTGCCGAGGTATCTTTCAATCCACCACTCCGTACTCCGTACTGTACATGCAGTACGCGGGCGGAGCTCCGCCATAACTAACTACTACACCCATCATCTCAAGCGAAGCTGATGACTTTTCCCTTATTACCTCCCTGGTTATCTAGCCTCTCTCCTCCTCGCGCTCCGCTCCACTTACTTCACATTGTTTATCGTCCTCTCTGGTCGCTCTTCTCACAATGGCTGACGAAGATCTCTCAATAACCACCGCCTCGGCTCCCACTACCTCCATACGTCCCTCGGGCCACTTCTACCCTTTCGCTACCTCGCCGGATATCATCCGCTCTCACGAGAAGGATGTCTTTCTCTCCGCGAGCTTGACTAACCAAGCTCAATCCATCGCCCGTTCCCTTCGTGGGGCTCGATTCGCCCATACGCACTCCGAGGCCATCAAACGACTGACCGAGACCCTGTATTTCTCCCTCACCACATTGACCGGGAATCGGACATTGGGCGAGGAGTACTGTGATCTGGTCCAATTAGAGGACGATACACTGCAACTCCCTTCCCTCCCCCGGCGGGCCGGATACATCCTCAGCAGCATTCTACTCCCGTGGGCGCTTCAGCGGATCCTCCCCGCGTTCCGACAGCGATTGCGAGCCAAACTCGAACGTAGTGTTGCCCGCCAGCAGGTCAAGAACGCCCAGACCAAGAGCACGCAAAACGATCAGCGCGACCAATCGGGCTCTTTCTTCACCAAGCTGCGGATACAGCGATATATCCTAGAGCACCTCGAATCCATCACGTCGTTGTCGCCCATTTACGCCGTCAGCATCGCGACCTTCTATTTCAGCGGCGCCTACTACCACCTCTCGAAGCGCTTCTGGGGCCTGCGTTATATTTTTACTAAGAAGATCAACGAGAACGAGCAGCGGGTAGGCTACGAGGTTCTGGGCGTGCTTCTCGTGCTGCAGATCGCAGTTCAGGGAGTTCTGCACATCAAGAAGGTGGCCGCCAGCCTGCAGCAGGAGGACCAGGACCTTCACGCAGCGGACGCTGGAGCGGTTGGCGGTCAAGGCGATAAGGCGATAACCTCCGTTGAGAATCCGTCTTCGCTTCCGCTTTTGCCCGCTAGCCGTGCCCGGTACGACTTCGCCGAGGACCCGAACGCTGTTCCCTGGATACCGGCTGGCCAACAGCGCAAGTGTACCCTGTGCCTAGAGTTGTTCAAAGATCCGAGTGCTACCACTTGCGGTCATGTGTTCTGTTGGACATGTGTTCGAGACTGGGTACGCGAGAAGCCGGAGTGCCCGCTCTGCCGCCAGGAGGTCCTCCTGTCTAAAGTGCTACCCTTGAGAGGGTAGTACTAGTCTAAGAGGCGTCCCACCTAGTCCCGTCGCATACTGCTTTCTTGGCATGTTTCAGCGTTGCAAATTGCTTGTTTCAAATATACCCTTCCAATTTAGAGGTATATTTTGACAGTTCCTGCCTGGATCGCAGCCATCTGTCAAAGCCCTGGCTCACATCTATACATCTCTGAATACTTCGTAGAAGATCCCCAATGCCTCCCTAATATAAGTTAAAGGGACGTATTGCGTTTATAGCTCCCTTTTGACAGGCTAACAGTAATCCGATCACAGTATGCCGATATGACGGGCAAATGATGCAAATGCACATCCCTGAAACGTTGCGGTGAGAGGCACTGGTCTGTTTATTTTCAGAAAGAGGAACCGTATCTGTTCCCTGATATATATACGGACTTTATGTCATTAAATGGTACACTTTGAATTTTTCGGAGCATCGCCGGGTTGCACTACTTCAACTTCTTCCAAGTCGGCAGTGACAGGCGCTTTGCACACAACCCGGATAGGTATATTCAGTTCGGCGTGGGCAGGGAGAGGGGGCGTGGGGTCCAGCGCTTGCCGTTTGGCGTCCATCTTGTCATATAAGCAGACGCACGCGTATGGGTCAGACGCAGCATCTATCGTGAGCCCCGTCAGCTATTTTCAAATCTTCTTTGGTCAAGGATAAAGTGACACTCACATTGGACCTGGCGATAGTTCAAGGTCGCCGTCCACTCGCTGCACCGCACGGTCTCTTCTTTTTGCAAGGGTAGCCCGAAATGCTCCTCCACCTGCTCACTCAGATTGACTAGTCGTTTGTTGATCAGTTTTGGGTTCGATTGGCAGTACTTGATCAGCTTGTGAAGATGGCTAAGCTCGAAAATCCCGTGCGCGTCTATCTTGAGAAACTTTCGGAGACGGGTGCAGTCCGCCTTGATCGACACGCCAGCTTTAGTGATTGCTGGATCTTCGATAATACGCTTCAGCGTAGGTGCTACAAGATCGGCGATTCCTCTTGCCGGCTTGAACAGTGCCACGTGAAAGAGCGCAATGCGGTGGCGGTTCGCGATCTGAATCAGCGAAACGTTGTCTTGGATGCTGCCCCATGCCGAAGCCGAGGCCTTCCATTCCAGGTCAAGCCCAAGGAGATCATCCTCTAGAAAAAGCTGTGCGATATTCTCGCTACTTTTCAAGCTCCTGCAATAGTGCACAACAATGTCTTTCCCTTCCGGGCTCTTTTGTAATTTGTGGCTCCAGAACTCCGGAGTTATGGGGTTCCCGGCTGTGTCCTTTTGAAGCTGTTGGGCTGTAAAATGACTCTTGATAGAATCTATGGGGCAGCTGCTGGTCTGATCTACTGACGCGGATGGCCTTTTTTGAGGACCCTTGAATAAAGTCGATGCCTCAGGCTTCTGCAGGGTTCCGAGCGGCCCCAGATCTGAGGCGATCGATGTATTTGAGCTATATGATCGCCTCATCTCTCCCAGGCACGTTCTCTTGGGCTTTCGCCCCTGATGGTTCCAGACCCCCATCCGAGACACGGAAGAGGCACCCGAAGGCACCTGAAGCGAGCCCTGGGCTCCATTGGAAGAGACTGAAGGTCGACTATATATGTCAAACCATGGCAGGGTTCTGCGTCGCTTGGGGCCATTAGTCTCTGGTTGGGAATTCATGGTCAAGGCTGGCTTCGCCAATGCGGCGTAGAATCTGCCCGTATAGACGCTTGGTCCTGGCTGCTGGCTCGGGGCGCACGGCCTGCGTAGCGACCTTGAGCTTGCCGCCAACAAAGCCTGGTCTGGCGATGTAAACCTGTATTTACAGTCAATCGGGGTCAAGGATACGAGTAGAAGAAGGGTGCGACCTACCGTGTAAGTGCCGACGCAGTGACAAGCATCTTATGAGGCCGAAAGGCTAAAGAATGTGGAAATGCTGTCCACGCGCGGTTCCTGTTTTGTCCCTTGTGATAGCAGGGCGCTTAGTGCGTATTAAGAGGATTTAGACGAGGCTCAGCCCGAACATGCTCTTGAGCTTCAGTCGATCAAAGAATTCCAAAAGGGAACTGAAGTCTCAGCTATTTACATTGAAAATGGCGGTGTCCAAAGAGACACGTTGATTGCTTTCCATGAAAGTCGGTAAAATATGGTACCTGAAGAACCTTAGTAAAGAAGGTGGTGTACAGTAGGTAAGGGAAACACGCCGCGGCGTCACGGGTATTGTTAGTCAACTTGCTCCATGATTGGGTTGAGTGAGCGGGCCGGATAAACGCGAGTTCCAGCGAAGATGCCAAGATTGTCTGGATGGATTCAACACTGACCGTTTCCGCCCACCGTGTCGTTTTCTAGATCAAGTATCTTGTGCTCCTGTCGTACTGTGAAAACCCTAAAGACTCGTCCTTTGTCGTTTTTTCCCTTCTTTCCTCGGGGTCTTCTTGAGCTTTGTACCAACTTTTCTCGATCTGGTATCACTGTTGGCCGAAACCTCTCATAATGGCTTCTCAACTTCTTCCTCTTGGTAATTCATTGAATTATATGGATATGCATTGACGTGACCGTGCTAACCCTCGGACTAGAGCTGATCGACAAGTGTGTCGGCTCTAGAATCTGGGTTATCATGAAGAATGATAAGGGTTGGTGCCGGCAACCTCTTTTCTTTCCCGGAAGACAGAATGATTAACTTCTTATCAAACAGAGTTCTCTGGTACATTGCTGGGATTTGATGACTACGTCAGTAAGTGGTCAAATTCTCTTCTGTCCTACAAGTATCAATAATCTAATTTTTCTTTCCAGACATGGTTTTGGAAGACGTGACAGAATTGTAAGTGTCTTCGACTGCGTATCCTGCTCTGGCTACATCATGCCATCGCATTGAATCGCCCTGCAATTACCAGAACATGGTCCGATCTACGTACTAAGTGCTATCAGCGACTACTCTGGTGCGCAAGTTAAGCTCCCTAAGATATTGCTCAATGGCAATAACGTTTGCATGGTGCGAGCCCTTCCTGCTTTCGTGTCCACCAAGCTAACAAGATTGCTCAGTTGATTCCTGGAGGCGAAGGGCCAGTTGGTAGCTCATGAACCTCATGATGTTCACGATATTTCAAGCTCTGTTTTAATTATCCAATGAATATTGATGACTGTATTCCAATCATGTCTTTTAAGGCCAATAGCTTCGCAGGGCGTTCTTCATCCCTCCATTCAGTCAAGAGGGGATCTGTCTCCTTTTTTTTTCAGGCGTGCAATCGATGTGCAGATGCATGACTTATGGCAGATCAAGATGGCCTTCTCCAAAAGGTACATATCTATCAATCAGCGAAGCAAACAGGCACGGGTTCGTCAGTCGCATATTGGTGTGAGATCGGGTCAGAATGCTCTTCAAGTGGCATCGACACGCCTGGATAAGATTTTTTCGGATCAGTATACAACTGACCAGCATTTGGGGGCTTTGTCTGAATTCAGCGCTCGCTCAATTAAGTTGCTAGCTTGATTTAACCGCGCTGCAATTGTCCGAATCCTTCTAGTTTCGTGAGCAACCTGCTCATCCATGAGTAGTCAACATTCGTGTATCTGAAGTGCATCACGCGACCGTCATTTCAACAGATGACCCGGTTTGAACAGGGCCCAGTCCAGTCTTCATGCAATGACAAGACCCGCGCCGAGGTTGTGACTCGATTCCCTGCATTCAATCACCGGGGATGTACTTCATTTGTCTTTTTTCCCCCTTTAGACTTTCGTTGACCCGGGCTATCAAAGGGAGTAGAGATCAGAGTGTCAGGCTGCGGTCGATAGATTATCTCTTAGGCGGTTACTGCTGCCTGCAACATTCAGCGAGGGTGACTCTTGAACCGAGGTAAAAGGAAATATGAGGGGAAGAAGGAAGTATGACATGGTTCAGTCTTACGCCCTCGATAGCCAAGACGAGAACTCAAGCCGACGAATGAGTGATGTCAGGATACGATGGATAGATCATAATTCATAATTCGAGCAACCAGATGAACATCATTCAAAGAGGTTGATCCCTTTCTGGTCAGTCCCCTGAGAGTGCCCGTCCAAGAACAAATCTTCGTATCGCCAGTGGACCAGACCAACTGCATGACTGCGGAAGAAATGAGAACAGAGAGATTTTTGGAAGCAAACTTAAGTGTCAGCTACCCCAGATATTTCCCACCGACTGGGGCCGAGTGGAAAATGTTAGGTAATAGCTTCGGCTCTTTCCCCGCATTTTCACCCATTGCCCGCCCGCCCGCATTAAGGAGATAACCCTAAATGGCCGTCTGTCCCCTAACTCAACGTCGGATGAGTTTGAATGAGGTTGGCAGATTTGAAAAGTGAAAAGTGAACCGGCGACTCCGAGTCCGATCGGAGGTTGGCCCGACTTCGAGTTTCGAGTTAAGTGCAAAGGGCTAAACCGCTCGCCGGTTCTCGGTGTTAGAGATCAAGACCGCCCCAGCTGCAGTCTCAACAACGACCGGCAGCATGGGCTGATAGTCAGAATTAGTTAGTAACTATCTGTCATGACTGTAGCTGCACAGCTTGCATTGTTTAACAAGCTTATATCATCTATGTTCACGTTAAATTAGTTAGTTATAAAGGCTGCGCGGAGGTATGCAGCCACCAGGGAAGGGTCAGGTTGCTCGGAGGCTGGGCTTCTCCCGGAGGCACAGTTCGCGATCGATCATTGGCTTTCGGGGATGCCGCAGGCTCCGTTGCCCGGGCTCGCTCAGTGTAAATTAAGGTAACATCGCGCGAAAGTATATCAGGGCCAAGGGACTGACACCACCCAAGGTGTGGTAAGTTTTGTGTGAGTGTCGTCCTGGTATTTCCACAGATTGCTAGACTCGGATTGAGACAAGCCTCTACCCTACTAGTAGTCGTATTTACCTCTTCTCTTTTCCGTGCCATATTGAAAATGGGCGGCGAATACGCCTGTCGATGTGCAGCCGTTGGGTCGTTCTCCAAAAGTATTATTCAGCCAATGATGCTAGTGTCTGAGAATTGCTCCTCTTTCTTCACGTGCCGAACATCCCAGCATCATGACCCGTCGTCAACCCGTTTTCTTGTGACACTACATGTCTCAGTCAACAGGGTATACTGCAGCAGTGTAAGGCTGATGTCCTCCTTAGCTGCGACCATCACGTATTGGTTCAATCTGCAAGACCGGCTAGCGAAAGCCACAGCCTGATACCCGGCCCGGTCCTGTAGCTGCGATAATTTGCTCGATCTCATCAACAATCTGGCGTCCCAACCGCCCTGATAAAGCTACAAGACGAGCAGAAACCTGGCTAGGCGTGTCTCCATTGACTTCATCCTCCTCCAAAAAGAATTCGGAAGATGAGTCGAGCGGGTATCTGCGGTTGCATTACGACGACGGAGGGGAGCAGGGTCACACCATCCTCCTCAGTTTCGTTCCTTTCATGGTTTGGCCAGATGAGTGTAACGCCACCCATGCACAAGTGGGATGTTTGGCTCAAAAGCCACAGCAACAATACTGAACGACAGTTGGGTTTCGCTGCCGTGAGCAGTCAACCCTGGCCGCGGGAGAAGGATTCTACCTAACCGGTTGACACTAACCCTTCTCTACATTGACCTCCGTCGCCATGACAGGGGGAAGTGTGCGAATCGACCTCCAGCTTAGGCGACTTTTGCCGGATCAGGGTTCGCGACAAGACAGACTCGATCCTTCGGGACCTTCGAGAACTTCGAGAACAAGACGAAGAAGACAATTGGAAGAAGAGGTGGAAGATGGTGACAGTCACCACGCAGGGAGGTATCCGTTGTACTCACCGTAGATCTACAGAACAGGGATTGTCAAAAAGGAGTGTACGTCAGCCACCCGCAGCGACCATAAGCCTCTGATCGCATTTCTGGAGGTTGGTGATGATCTTCTCACAGGAGACAGCATACACAAAGATACGGGTATATGTGTACTGTTCATTGTTTAATGGTGACATAACAATCTGAAAGTCAAGGTAACATATACACACAGCTATCTGCTGGATGTGGCAGAAGGAACTGCAGGCATAGACTCGAGAGATGAGCACCAGGCCTTTGACTGAACAATCCCCAGGAGTACCGAGGCTAACCTCTTATCAAACATTTGCCTTCCAGCTCCTTGATTGGCTCTCGCTTCGCTGCGTGAATTAAATCTCGGGGAGGTAGCTGCATGCCTGAGGGATGAAGTCCGTTTACCGTCGGACATATTCTAGGAAGGATGGAGGCGCGTAAGCACGCGGAGGGGCTTCTAGACACATTCCAATGATGCGATGTGATGTAGGCATGATTTTCTATCAGGGGAAGAAAAAGAAAAGAAAAAGAAAATCAATTATCAGGAAATCCAGAGATAGCGGCCATTGATAATGATAAACCCGATAGCTATCAATCGCCTGCTTAGACTTCATAGATAAGAGAGACTCCACTTGAAAGACCCTGGCCATGAAACCCAACTTTACTTACTTGCAGCAGCACACGTGTTGACTGTAGGCAAAATTGCCTACAACCAATTCATCATAACAATCACACGGGCACGATTGACTGACTTCTTCTTAAGTCGTAGGTGGGTGGGCACTTATTGGGAAGGATGATGCCACCTTTGGCTATTGGTTCGGAAGTTCTGCACTACCAGTGGCGTTGGAACCTTAAGGACGAAGTTATTACATACGTAGTAGCTCGGAGAGGACCAGGGCTTCAGTGGCGGAACCAAGGTCAGCTGCTGTTGTTTCGGCGCTGATTCTGGGCACTTGAAATGCTGTTTTGCATCTGAATGTGGAGCTTGGTTGAGGCTTTAATCATATTGTAAGTTAGAGATTTAGTTCATCCAGTGGAACTATAACACTCGAGATGATAATTAACAAAGAGGACAAGATAAACTACCAAATAGCAACGCAACATGTACTGTACCTACCTATGGGGCATAGCAGAAGGTACGTAGTAACTACGGCGTAGATTACCCAGTAGGTACCTAGTAGTTAACTAGTGGTGGGAGACTCCGTAGATACCCACTGATAAGTGGCCCTGGGGACTCCGGGCGGGCTAGTCATGGTTGGGACTAGTCCGGTTTGAAAGGTTTCCTTCCCATGTCGTGTGGCTGATTGTGATTAGCAAGTCAGCTGCTGGTAACTGCGCACTTATCAATCCTAATTGTCAAGCAAAAAGTAACGGTGAATAATGCTGCAGATGGCAGCCAATCAAGATGCAGACATGCTCAATCATAAGGTGGCAATCGACGCCGTTCATGAAATCAAGAGATTCACAAGATACTCCCCCAGAATATCAATCGGATGCACCACGCACCACCACCTACAGTGGCCTAGCCACCATCAATTTTAGTGAATTGACAGTAAGGCCCCTCTTGTAGTCTAGCTTCCCCCAGACTGGTCCCACTTCAAGGTTCCGAACCCAGAGAGTTTCCTGCCCGTTTGGCTCGGCCACATGGATGGTAGGTAGACAGGGAGGTATACCGTATCAATGCTTGCAATGCAATAATCTGGCCCACCCCTCCTCTTCCTTCTCCATGCTGATTGATGGTGGATAATTACCCCCGAAAGCATGGATGTCAGTCAATTAAGCCAGACTAGCTAGGCAGCGTTTATTCATTTGTTCCATCTCACTTCGCTCTGAAGGCTGATCTTCCCCATTTAAATACTGGCTGGCATCCCATGTCAATCCATGAGGGCTTCCGAGCTTCTTAATTCTTCCCCCTCCTCTGATCCCTCTTTGCACCCCCGCTAGCATTGCTCTGTTGTGATCGCAGCAGGCAGTCCAACACATTGTGCCTTGGATTAGCGTGGCCCGCCGGAGTGGCTCAGTAACACACATTCACTCATCGTAGCCTAGCACTCAAATACGCCAGCAGCTGCTCTGCACAATCACTATCACCTTATCTTGTTTCTTCTCCTTCTTCTCTTCCTCGACCTCGACCTTCCCATACTGAAAGTCTCTTTCTAATTGTGCAAGCTTGCTGCCCTACTGAGTTCCTAGTGCCTTGTGCGAAACCATACCCTACTCTTACCCTTTCAGCCATGGAGAAAGATTTCATGGAGCCGAAATATGAATCCAAACCCGAGGCCTCCTCGGCCGCCGACCCTCCGCCGTCCTATGGAGAGACCGAGACAACTAAAGGAAGCTTTGGCCAAAGAATCTGGGACAGTTTCAAGAGAGATCCTAATGCACAAGTGACGGCCGCCGAGCACTCGGGTGCCGATGGATCGGCATTCGATATCGAGGAAGCTGCACGGAAGACTGCTCAATCCCCTCTGCAGCGCAAGCTTAAAGGCCGTCACCTTCAGATGATCGCTATCGGTGGCTCAATTGGTATGTACCCCTATATGGCCCCTGGTTCTTGCATAGATGGCTCACCTGGTCACTCAGGTACTGGTCTCTTCGTCGGATCCGGATCAGTTTTGGCTGCGGGTGGTCCTGCATCGGTTCTGATTGCTTACGCGTTGATCGGCTGCATGCTTTACTGTACCGTGCACGCGCTGGGTGAAATGGCCGTTTTGTTTCCTGTCGCTGGTTCCTTCTCCCACTACTCCACTCGCTTTATTGATCCCGCCTGGGGCTTCGCCATGGGTTGGAACTATGCTCTGCAATGGTTGGTGGTTCTGCCGACCGAAATTGTCGCTGCTTCCATGACCGTCAACTACTGGAACTCGAGTATCTCGAGTGCTGCCTGGGTCGCCATCTTTTGGGTCTTGATCGTCGCAATCAATCTATTCGGTGTCAAGGGCTATGGAGAAGCTGAGTTCGTCTTCTCGATTGTCAAGGTCCTTGCGGTTATTGGCTTTATGTGAGTGACCTGAGCGCATTTCTCTTACGGGAATCCTGGAAATCATCCGACTGACTTGAATAAGCATCCTTGGCATCATTTTGGATTGTGGTGGTGGCCCCAACGGTGGCTATATCGGTGCACGCTATTGGCATAACCCGGGTGCTTTCCATAACGGATTCAAGGGTCTTTGCAGTGTCTTCGTCAATGCTGCGTTCGCATTTGCCGGCACTGAGCTGGTTGGTCTTGCGGCAGCCGAGACCGCCAATCCTCGCAAGTCCCTCCCGACTGCCATCAAGCAAGTATTCTGGCGTATCACCTTGTTCTATATCTTGTCGCTTCTGCTGGTCGGCTTGCTGGTCCCTTACACCGATGACATGCTCCTTAGCGGGTCATCCAGCGCCGACGCTAAGGCATCGCCCTTCGTTATCGCCATCAAGAACGCCGGTATATCTGGACTGCCCTCTGTCATGAATGTTGTGATCATGATCGCCGTGCTGTCAGTTGGTAACGCCTCGGTCTACGGTTCTTCGAGAACGTTAGCAGCCCTGGCTGAACAGGGACAAGCCCCTAAGTTCCTGGGTTACATCGACCGTAAGGGTCGTCCTCTCTGGTCCCTCCTGATTGCTTCGTCGCTGGGTGCACTTGGATTCTTGGCCGCGTCTTCGAAGCAGTCCGAAGCGTTCTCTTGGATGATGGCGATTTCTGGTCTCTCGTCCATCTTCACTTGGGGTTCAATCTGTTTGTGCCATATCCGCTTCCGTCGTGCTTGGAAAATCCAGGGACATAGTCTGAACGAACTTGCTTTCCGGTCTCAACCTGGAGTGATCGGATCCTGGGTCGGATTCGCTTTCAACTGCCTGGTTTTGGTAGCCCAGTTCTGGGTTGGGTTCGCGCCTACCGGATATGCGAGTATGTCTGCCTCGGCATTGGTCGAAAACTTCTTCTCGGCCTACCTCGCCGCGCCTGTCGTGCTGGCATTTTACATCCCTTACAAACTGTGGTACAAGACTCCTTTTATCCGCGCCAAAGACATGGACCTGCAGACTGGTCGACGTGACTTGGATATCCAGTATCTTATTGAGCAGGAACAGGCCGAACAGGCGTCCTGGCCAGCTTGGAAGAAGGTTTACAAGTTTTTCTGTTAGGTTGAAGTGTTGCCAGTCAGACATTGGACATACGCGGGCGCCTTAATATCATGATACCTTACGTGCCTGAACTTTGTGTACCATAACGATAATGTTTCTTTCCCTCACTTGTACAGATGAGAGCATCTGATGCGTCTTGGTGTTTTAAACCATCTTCATGGTCAAATACAACTCGACTCGAATTGATATCTTGCGCAAGGTACATGGACTATGAGTTGTAGAAGCGAGCGGAATGAAGCGACTTACTTTCGCGTTCAAGACTGTCTGTCATTTGAAATCTCAAAATTGAGGGAGGTGGTCTGTTCTGTGGTCTTGGCGGCAGGAGAAATTGGTGTCTTTCTGGTCCTCCGTCAGTAGCGAATGAACACACCGAGTATTAGTGGAGGAGGGTTGGATGCCAACCTCACTCGGGCAATGATCGGACAGCAGACTATGCCTAATTATACCATGGTCACTTACGGGAAGGGGGGGCCATGTGAGATTGTTGGGAAATCAATCTAAGACAACGGTAATAATTAACCGTGACGGGGAGACCAAAAATAGTAGCCACTTTTCCAGCAACAACAGAGCAACAGCAGAACAACAGCAGTTCTCTACTAAATAACTTAGACTACCTATTCCTACCCAGCAAAGCACGCAACACGTGAGGGATAAAGCGAGGCTGAGGAGGAGACTGGGAAAAAAGAAGGCGGGCGGCAATGGTCTAGTGCGGACTGTACTCCATAGTAACCAAGAGTTACGTAGACCTTAGTAGTAGAGTTGACTTGACCAGCCCTGCCCAGTCACTTTTTTCTATAGGGCCTTTATTTAACGTGGTTTCAGCTTGGTACGTACTCCGTATTCCTGCACTAATCGGTAGTAGTGTTGAAAACTTACATGTGAATTACCGTACCCAGTACCTACACCGTCGCCCTCCATAATGACGGATGGAGAGCCCAAGGCCCGACCGAACCTCTCTCTCTCTCTCTCTCTAGTCTGACTTATCCTCTGGAATCTCGAAATATTCATCCCATCATCATCATCATCATCATCATTGTTTCTTCCTCCCGGTTATACTTCTCTTCCTTTCACCTCTCCTTCCCTGACAAAACAATTGCCTCTCTTCTAGAGCATATCGTATTTTCTTTTTCCTTCTATCTCTTCTCTCTTCGTTATTATCTACTGCATCACTGCTCTCCATTGGCGCTGCATTCATCCCACCTTCTCCCCCCCCCGAATTCTAGGCTGTCGTCTTCTGTAGCCGCTCTCGCATACTTGTTTCCCCCCTCCTCCCCTCTCCCCGAGCCTATGTCTCTTCGCAGCTCCTCCGTGCCACCTTAGGGATTGTCGAAACCTTCAGCTATATTGGTTGCGCTCAAGCCGGTCGTTTTCTTACTTCTCTTTTCACTTTCTCCACGGTCCTTGTGTACAGTTACCGTTGCGCCTCTAGTTTGTTTAACCCGGTCGCCTTCCGCTGGCGACGACGACCGATCATCTCTACCTTGGGAGACTTGCCGACTTCGAACAAGTACCTCTGCGTATCATTGCAGCACCTTAGGCGAGACCAGGAACTCCAATTCATTGCTCGTTTGTCGGTCGCCGATCTTGCTTCACAATGCCTGGCTTCGCAGATTCGTTTTGGACCCCAGATTACGCCACAGGTCTGGGGGTACTCTACGGCAAACTCCAGCAGGGCGCGGTGGAAAACAAACAAATTCTGACTATTGCCTCGATGCGCGCGGACGCGGAGGACATGTATGGCTCCAAACTCGGGGACATTGCGCCGGCCGTCGACCGGGTGACACCAACAGGGTTTGCGAAGGACGACGGGGCGAGCGTGAGGAAGGTAAGCGGACCGGAGAGTTAAGGCTAGGTCTTTCATGTCTATGCGAGTACTAATGCGGGGTTGCCATCTTTCTCTGCAGGCTTATGAAGGTGTTCGCACGGAAATGGTCGAGGCGTCCAAGAACCACCAGAAAATCGCGTCCAACATTCGGGAATTGGTCGTGTCGCCGTTCCGCCGCTGGTGCGACCAACATGAGGCGCGGATACAGAACTCTCACGATGATTTGCAGGCCCGCATCAAGGAACACACGAAGCAGGTCGAATTGGTCAAGAAACTGCGGAGCCACTACTTCAACAAGTGCCGTGTTGTGGAGGATTTGGAGGAAGAGAACAAGCTTGCTTTCCAAGGCCCCGAGACCAGTCCCAAAATCAAGCCCACTCCCAGGATCGTCTTGCCGGAAGAAGAGGGAGAGGAAGAAGAGCCGGTCGAAATCGGCGATCGCATCTATCCTCCCGAGGACCTGAAGAAGCTGTTGATACACATGCTGGAAACGATCAAAGTGGGCGATGTCAAAGTGCCCATCATTGGGACTTATCAGAACACATCGACCGGTGCCGACATCGTCGACTATATTCAGAAGTATCTGAACGGAACCAGCATCAGCTATTGTGAAAGAATCGGCCAGGACCTTGTCGACAACGGGTTTCTTAGGCTCGTGGGAAACATGGGCAGCACGTTTGCCAATAGCTCTAAGATGCGTTATCAGTGGCGCCCAAAAGTCTTCCAAGTCACAGGCATTCCCGACAAGAAAAAGCCTCTGATGCGGGTCACTTCTATCGCCTCCAGCGAAGATGGCAGTGACTCCCCCCTGTCTTCTGTATCCGAGATGCTCGCCGGGTGGAACCCGCTGAATAACCCATACCCGAACGAAACGCCAGCGGAAAAGTTGCGCAGAGAGGCCCGCGAGGCTGATGAACGGTACAAGGCTGCTGTGCGGCGACTTGACCTGATCAGATGCAAGCTCGAGGAGGAGATTGTTGAGAATCTGCGCTTTATGGAGCAGTGCGAATTGGACCGTCTCAAGGCAATCAAAGCCGTAATCCTAGATTTCTCTGGAGCAATCAGCAACGTGATTCCTAACCTGCAGAGCACGGTGGATCACATGATGCTGTACCAGGAGACTATTCAGCCCCTCGGAGATCTTAGATACCTTCTGGAGAACTACCGGACCGGCGGTTTTGTCCCCCGCGTACAGGCTTACGAAAACTACTACGGCTCCGTTGAAGGTATGTAGAAGACCCCGATCTTCGTAAACCGTCTGGGCAGCTGAGATCTAATCTGCATCTAGATCAGAACTTCGGTGTTGATCTCGAGGCTAGAGCAAGAGCCGATCGCAAGCGGGTTCCAATTATTGTAACGACTATCCTCACTTATCTTGACAACCGTAAGAGCGCTGCAGTATTGACGTCGTCCTCTTGGAAAGTGACTGACCAAAGATATAGGTTACCCTGAATTGGAGGGTGACGAGGCCCGACGTGCGATATGGCTCTATGATGTACCTTTAGCGGCAACGCACCATTTGCGGAATGCATTGAACAACAGCAGAGCGGACTACAACGAAGTGCTCGAGAAATACGAGATTCCTATCATTGCCAGCGTCTTGAAGTTGTATCTTCTTGAATTGCCAGGTTCGTATCCATCTCGTCTCACAATCTGATTCGCATTAACATGAATCAGATTCGCTCGTTTCTTCTCAAGTTTATGAAATTGTTAAGACAATTTATTCCACCACCGCCCATGAGACCACAGAGGAAGGCCGCATCAAAGTTCTTCAAAGCACACTCGGCCAACTCCGTCTCAATAACATCGCCACACTTGACGCCATTATGACCCATTTCACGCGTTTGATAGACCTGACGTCTGCCGACGAAGCTTATGTATCTTCTCTTGCCCAAGCGCTCTCCCCTTGCATTCTCCGCCCCCGCACGGAGAGCAGCCTTACGATGAATGAGCGCCATAGCTATCGCCTAATCCGTGACCTGTTCGCTCACAAAGATGCTATTTTCGGCGAGCTTAAGCGCCAATCGAGCGCTCTCGGGATCAGTGGCACCAGCAATCGCCCCCGTGCTATTAGCACTGATGAGAGCAATCGACGCGCAGCCATGGAAGCGCGGAACCGCGCCATTGTCGACCGCAGCCGCGCCCACAGCCCCAATCCCCCACGGAAGCACCGTCGGGATCGTTCTAGCGGTGCTTCAGAGGCCGGGCGTTTCCCCGTCAACGTCACGAGCCCTACCGAGCGGAGAACCAACCTCCGTAATAGCCTCGACGTTCCCACCAACATGGAATCTCCTACAGCTGCCGAGAAAATGAGCAGCGTGAACATCGACAACTCAGAAGCTCTTGAGACCAACGGTGCTGCGGATGACTCTCCCGCCGTCAGTGCCAGCTCCAGATCTGGAACTTCGAGTCCTCCTCCGGTCGCAGGATCAGATGGATCCATGAGCCCCGTGACCGCTGCCACTCCCACCCAGGAAGCCGAAAAGCGCACTTCGATCCCCCTCTCCAGTGTCATGTTCAACCGCAAACCCGGTCTTGGCAATCGTTCCAGCTTTCCCATCGCGGTGAACAGCGAGAATGGATCTGACAGCAAGCGCAGCAGCCTGGCAACCATCGAGAACGAGCCCAAAGGTGTTACTTTGGAGGACAAGCCAATGGACGATGACTAAACGCGACTCATGTGATGTGTGGATGCACTCACTAACTGACTGATTGACTCATATGACCTGAACGTCTTGAACGTTGTCGCATGTCTTGCTTGAGGTTCTCTCATCATGACAGTGGATTGGGGAGGGACTAACAGCCACCAACGACTATACTCTACTAGTCTGCCGGGAACAGATCGTTATGGTGCTCCACCCCATTCTGAGAAATAAGGATGGTGAAGCAACATAAAGTGAGAGGAGTCTACGCATGATGTGTGTCTGCTGACCTCAGTTACCTTGGCCTCTTTCTCGGATCTGAGAGCCGGTCTTATCAGCCAAGAAAGCCTTGGGCCCAAGGACTACCTACCTAGTCAGCAGTCTTTCTTCGCCACTTCTCCTTTCCTCTGTGTTCTTACTGTTTGCTTCGTGCATCCTCGATTGTATCCCGCTCGAGAGTCGACATCCCGCTCCCTCTGCCTGAGGTTCCTTTGCAAACCTGCTTCTGCTTCTCTTCTTCCTCTGACATACCCAACATCTTCGTATGTTTATTCTATCTTTGGTGTATACATAGTGCTCCCATTCCATTTATCTATCTTTGTTTCTTTCCTTCCATCGATTGATCAATCTATCTATGCCTGCTGTGTTTTCATGATTTTATCATGTGTTCGCGAAATATCCACTTCCGTGCATTGTCTCGGATTTATCCTCGAACAGTCCCCGCGTGTGATATGCACCGTCTAGTTTGCAGATAGAATCCCAATGTAGAATATTCCGTCAAAGGAGAACTGCAAGTAAGATGAATTTTGATTGTATTTTTCTCTGAATTATAGTGCCAAGTAAACTAAGTATACAACGCTATGAGGTATGTTCCGTGCCGTGCTGTGCCATGCTGTGTGTGCTGTGCTAATCCCAGATATGAGTGATGAAATGTTTGTACGGGGTCCAATGCACCGATAACCAAGACATAAGAAGTCGGTACAATGCAAAAATGCAATGAAGGCCAGGTGGCCAAACGCTCAGAAATGCAGAATGTTGATCAAGTTTTAGGCTTGACCTAAAAGCAGCCTGCGGAGGATGCCCTCCCCGGGTCCAACGATTTGGCTCTCGATCTCCTTCTGAGAAACGAAGCATACGAGGCATTGCTCGTCCAGCGCTCGACTAGGAGTCATGGGACCAGCTCCATGCTTAGAGGGAGAACGTCGAATGTCGGTTCCGCCAGCGACTGTGCCACCTCGACCGCGGCCTTGGTGTTCGCCCACGAGACCCATGGTTTCCAGATTGCTAAGCACATCCTTGAATTCCGTCGATGTGAGAGGGTGCAGAAGATTGTCTTTCCGACACAGGGCGCAATACGCATCATAGACCTGCTTGACCGTGGGAGCCACATTTTTGTTTTTGGATGGAGTACCTGGGATTTCTGTCTCTCGACGGCGCCGATCCAGAGCGATCAATACACAGATTGCGGCTTTCTGTTGAAGATTGATACCCTGAAGTCTTTGCACGGTGCCCTGACCGAAAGCAGAGGAAGTGATGCGCGCCACATGGGCGATGCTCGCTCGTGGTGCGGTGAGGGGGGTGTAGGCCTTCATAGACTTCTGGAAAGGTGGTGAGCATTTGCTGATGGATGAGAGATTATTGTTCTCAACGAGAATAGTTTGGTTTTGAGTGCCAGACGCGGCATCTTGCTTCTCGAGCTTCTGTAGGGTTTCTTGTTCCACAAGATCGATGGCGCGCTTGATCAGCTCAAATGCCTTGCGTAGGTCGCCAGTCTGCGAGGCCACCTTCTTCGAGCACAGCTGGATCGCTGCGGGCTGGACAAATGGGATGAAGTTTGGATCTGCACTGTGACCCTCCGGAAGCAGGGAACGAAGTCGACCAGTAATGACTCCAGCAATTTGAGCCGCATTATAAGGCAGAAATGGGAGCAGACGTGGCTTGAGATTCTTGGCTTTCAGCTGGGGCAACGACCTGTCAGTTAAATCAAGTGCATTTGCAATCCCAATGAGCATAAGTTTCGACTCGCTCTGTAGAGACCACTCGAATAGGGACTGCAAAATGCCAGCGTCCGCAGTGAGGAGATGGTCAATCTCGTCCAGGGTCACGAAATATAAATCGTTCTGTTTCTTGTTCGATGTGAACATGATTCGTAGCCGGTCCGCCTCGCTCTTTTTAAACACCTCAGAGTCATCGCAAAGATCCTCGATAAGCTTGCTGTAAACATCACGGGCGGCTCGCATGCTCGCACAATTAATGTGTGTAACCTTGGCTGATTGCAGGTCCATCCCATTACACACTTCCTGAACCAATGCACTTTTTCCGGTACCAGGAGGACCGCTCACATACAAGCAGCCACCTGTGCAAGAGTTCAGGCTGTCCTGTATGAAATCGCGAAGCTTTTCCCGTTCGGCCTCCCTGCCAACAATCCGCGTAGATGATACGCCTCGTGCAAACAATTGTCTTGCTTGCGTATAGACAGTCTGTGCGGTGGTAGCAGTTGTAGGAGTGGTTGCATGGCGGGGAGTACGTGGCGTCGACGGTTTTGCGCCAACCTGAACGCGGTGTTTTGGTGTGACCGGCGCGGAGTCGAGTGCATCCCGAAATCTCGACTTCGAAGGAGTCTTGAATTCGACTGGTGTTGAATTTTCGTCTATATTCCGTCAGCAGTGGCCTTGGACATTGCTGCTCCGGTCGACTAACCATTGATAGGATCCGTAGTAGCATTGCGCTTGACTGATGAAAGCTTGACAGGTGAAACGATCTTGTTTTCCCTCAAGCTGCGGTCTGAGGTATGGTCCGTAGAAGATTCTAATTTCTTGGGGCTTCGGTTCTCTTGCGGATCGGCAATGCTATTGTCGATTGTCCTCGAACGAAGCTGTCGTGTTTGTAATGCAGTGGATTCGGGTTCTTCACGGATGCGGGGCGGCTGTGCTCGGCGCTTGCTTCCACTGCGAAGTAGCAATTGAGGAGCTATAGAGAAAAATTGATTAGACAAGGAAGTTGATAGTGAGCTCCGCTGAGGAAAGCAAGTCAACGTACCTTCTGTCTCGATGGCACCCCGTTGGCGCTTGCCCAGGACCGAGACAGCCATTGTTACGATATGACGAACCCTCACACAAAGGAGGCAAGAGCGTTGGGTGAGAGAGTAAAAACAACTTAGTGAATAGGAAGGCAAGTGCAGACTGGATTGGATAGTAATGGGGATAACGGGAGTTCGTGAGTGAGTGAGTGGACATGGAGCTATTTTTCCCAAGGAGGCATAATTGAGCCTCGCCCGATTTTAGGGCCGCGGCGCTATCCACGACGCGCTGCCTCGGCGCGTCACGCGTCGGCAGCGAAAGCCCTGCGACAGTCAAGTAGGGTTCCCGACAAAGCCCAGTGCCGCAGCTTTGGTTACTGCATTTGAAGTTGGGCGGCGTCGGTGATTGTGTAACTGTCCCGGCGCTTAGTTAATCAACCAACTAACTTAACTAAACGAAGTGCGTCACTGATCCTGCCTACCTAACTAAATATCGGAGCGGACATTGTCTTCTACTACTGTTATATAACTAGGTACATAATACCTACTTATACTCTTCCCTTAGCTTATATCTCTATATTCTTAGCACACTTTGATTGACAATCAAATCAATCTATGTATCTCCGACCTCCACCTGTTCAAGCTGAATCTATTCCACTGAGCCTTTCTTGTTGCCCTGCTGCCCTGTAATCTGTCATCCCTGATCACCGCCTTAATACCGTCATTGGAGTTTGCAGCTGTTTGCATCATATTGCCCTCCTCACTCATCAACCTTGCAGCTTGCAGTTAAGTCCTCCTGCAGGTAGTTTCCGTCTCGCACCGGCCTGATACCCCACTATTTATCCTGTTTATATCTTCTCCTGCTTCTAAAACAAAACCCAGCGTGCTTTGCCCGTCATGGACGGCGATGTGGTGGCCCAGTTCACCGAAATTACCGGCTCCAAGCCGGAGCTGGCAATCCAGTACTTGCAGCTTGCCGATTTCAACATCGAGCAGGCTATGCAACTTTACTTTGAGAATGGTGGAGCACCGCTAACCGAAGAGCCTGCGCCATCAACTTCCGCGCCTCAGCAAGCCTCTCGCGCCAGAGGATATGAAGATGATTCCGGCGTTGTACACATCGACTCAGACGACGACGACGACACCACGGTGGACGAATCGCGGCCTTCCGCCCGCGGCGCTCACTTCGAAGATGATGCGGCCATGGCTCGTCGGCTCCAGGAGGAGATGTACAGAGGGGCGGGTGCTGAAGAAGAGGTGCGCGCACCGATGGCTCGCACCACAGAAACTTTGGTGGGCCCAGAAGCGGACTTTGACGACGGCGACATGCATGCCAGCATTTTGGGCCAACTGCGCGCTCGCCAGCAGCGACACAGTCAGTATAACCCTGTGATACCATTTATCTTCCCGTCTGTCCGTCGCTAACTCATTGTTTCCGCTTCCCAAGACCGTCCCGGTATTTTCAATCAAAGAGATACGGCGTCGATATGGCACGGCGAAGATGAGGCGTCACAACGTGAGCAACTGGCAGCAGCGACTGGAGGAGCCTCCGAAGCCTCAAGTAAACAGAACATGCTGGCCGAGATGTATCGTCCGCCGTTCGAGATTATGTCTCGGCTTTCTTGGGATTCCGCTCGGCAGGAAGGCCGCGATACTGAGAAGTGGTTGCTGGTCAACATCCAGGATTCTTCAATCTTCGACTGCCAGGTGCTGAACCGGGACCTGTGGAAAGACCCTGGAGTGCGGGATACCGTCAAGGAACACTTTGTCTTCCTTCAATATTCCAAGGACGACCCACGGGCTACGCCCTATCTCCAGTATTATTTTCAAGCAAGCGCAGTATCGGACAACTACCCTCACATCGCAATTGTCGATCCTCGGACGGGAGAACAGATGAAGGTCTGGTCTGGTCCTCCAGTTGTGCGGGCCGCCGAATTCTTGATGCAACTTCACGAATTCTTAGACCGGTACAGTCTGAAACACAACGTGCGGAACCCCGTTGCTAAGCGCAAGCCGGAACAGAAGGAGAAGAGCATAGATGCCATGACTGAGGAAGAAATGCTGGAGATGGCGATGAGGAACAGCCTGGGTGAACAGGCGGCTCAAGCCCCGAAATTGGAGGATCCTGATGAGCTTACCCGCAGTACTGGAGACGTCAAAGGTAAGGGGAAGGCGGTCGATGTGGAAGACGTCGACATGGATGAAGAGGAGCCAGGTGAGCATAGTGCATTCGCTGCCATCTCAAATGACAACCCCCACACCGAACCACCGGCCGATCCCGCAACAACGACGCGCATTCAGTTCCGCCATCCCTCCGGAAGAGTCATTCGCCGCTTCGCTCTGGCAGACCCGGTTCGGAGGATCTACGAGTGGCTCAAAACCGAACCTCCGTTGGCAGACAAGCAAGGGGTGGAGTTCGACCTCAATGCCATGGGTCGTAATCTGATCGACTCATTGGATGCAAGCATCGAAGAAGCCGGTTTGAAGAACGGAACGGTAATGATTGGTTATGTTGAGAATGAATGATCTCACAGTCGACGAAAACTCCAATGCTTAGGATTCAGGATGGGTCGCTGTGATGAAGGGAAAGCCCCGTTTCGCACTGAGTGCATCTAGTCCTTCGAGCCTGCACCCACGAGCTACGAAGGCGGGAGGTTTTTATCTAAGACGTACATTCGGAACTATTTCATTTGAGGATGAATTGGGAGAAGATCATAATGGATGACTGGGGCCTTATAGATCTAAGCCAGGATGCAATAAGACACATGATTTTTGAGCGATAGACTTGATGGCAAGTGCTTGACAGAGTATGGAGTATGTACATACATCGTTCCGTGGCTGTTGGTCCCGCGCTGGGCAGCCGTAGGTACCCGCCGGGCGCAGTTACCGGGCTACTTGAGGGGGGGTAGTAGCTGCTGACCGCCATTCAGGACTGAGCCCCACCATTGGCAAGAAATCAAGGCATTGGGCCGGCAGAAACAACCCCGCGTTGCCCCAATCACCGGGCGGTCCCTCCTTCGTTGTTGTTGTTCCATGTTTGCAGTGGCCCTGTCCATTACTACACTATCAGTATGCAAGGAGATTCTTCTCTCTCTGCCATCTGAGCTCTGTCTGAGATCCTTACTTGTTTCTAAATTGACAATCAAAGCAAGGGGATTGATTCTAAAAGGACGTTTGTCTGTCTGTCCTTCTAACTTACCGCTTCCTCCCTTCCTCCCCCTCCTTCCTCTCCCCTCGCCCCCTCCTTCAGAAGTGCAAGTCCTGGCTCAGCTGGGTTCAACAAACCCCCCCCCCCCCCCGCCAGCTGATCGTGCACTGGTCGACCAGTGTCTCGCATTCCACGGGTGGCACTTGAGCTTAATCCTCGCTTTCTCGCCCTTGTGAACTCTGACATAGAATTGATCTTCCCCCTTTGTCAATGAATGTTCTCAGTGTTCCATTGAACCTTATCTGTTCGTTCCATACCTCCTAGACTGCTGATTCTAGGCGATCGGTACTAGGTATGTTGTCACCGTTCTCTCATGGCTGATTGGACGATTCATCCACTATAGCTCTCTCCTCGAAACCTCTTGGCCCATCCCCTGCTCACTGGCTACTTGGTCCTCCGATAAATATCCTTTGTGTCGGCTGTCAATGCTGACTCTTACATTGACTATGACAGAACCACATCGAACACTGGCCATTAGCAGGTCGTGAGTCCAAGCACAGCCAAAATGGAAGGCCTCGTAGACCCAGAGACAATTTACATGAAGCAGAATTGCATCGGTACGTATCCGCTTTGCCGCCTTAACTGTTAGCTGGCTTTCCTGACCGACCGTCGTCTAGGTGGCGGAAGTTTTGGGAAAGTGTATAAAGGGTATGGCGCTGTCTCTATTTCCCGTTTGCAGAAGATCTATAAGACCCATCGCTCACGCTGTGGTTCGATCTAAGGGTCGATAAACGTAACGGAGCATCTGTTGCGATCAAAATCATCGACGTCGAGAATGCCGAAGATGAGGTTGAAGATATCATCCAAGAGATTGCTATCTTGTCGGAGCTCAATTCGCCCTACGTGACCAGGTATCATGGCTCGTTCTTGAAAGGGTCTAGCTTGTGGATCGTTATGGAGTTCTGCTCCGGTGGTAGTTGCTCGGATTTGATGCGCCCCGGCACCATTCCCGAGGAGTATATTATGATAATTCTCCGAGAGTTGCTCCGGGGATTAGACTACTTGCATAGCGACAAGAAGCTACATCGTGATGTCAAAGGTACTGTTTATCATACCGCTTATGTATCGGCCCGTCCAACACCAGCTAATCTGTGGTATAGCTGCCAATATCCTTCTCACTTCTAGTGGCCAGGTGAAGCTCGCAGACTTTGGTGTTTCGAGTCAGTTATCAGCAACTATGACTAAGAAAAACACCTTTGTGGGGACACCATTCTGGATGGCACCAGAGGTGATCAAACAGTCGGGCTATGATTATAAGGCCGATATCTGGTCTCTTGGAATAACTGCAATTGAGTTGGCGAATGGAGAGCCACCTTACTCGGATATTCATCCTATGAAGGTTCTGTTCTTGATTCCTAAAAATCCTCCCCCAACCTTGCACGGGGACTACAGCAGAGCTTTCAAGAACTTCGTGGAACTTTGCCTGCGGAGGGATCCGCGGGAGCGACCTTCAGCCCGAGAATTGTTGGAGCATCCATTCATCAAAAGGGCGAAGAAGACAACATACCTAACGGAATTGATTGAACGCTACGAGCGCTGGAATACTATTCATGGAAATAAATCGACAGATGACGACGAGGATAACTATCAAGAACCTCCATCCAAGACCAGCCCTGTCGACGAAGAAGACGATCTCTGGGACTTTGGCACTGTCCGCCCTGCTGGGGGACGAGCTCCTGCGCTGAAGCCCATGAAAGAAGCCGACGTGAATGCACGAGCTCATGATATCGCTGAACAAAACCTGAAGGCAAGCAGTCGTATGGAATTTGCACGCAATAAAATCAATCCTCCTACTGTGCCGATGCCGCCACCGCGTACTCCAGGCGCTGCATCCGTACCATCCTCACCCTCTAAAATTCCTTTGCCGCCATCTCCTATGAAGTCTTCAGCATCAGAGTTCAGGCCACATACACCTTCATATCTAAAAGAGCCAGCTACGCGCCTGCCTAAAGAAAGCCCCGGCAATGAATACGATAGAGCTCTACAGCAAGCTTTAGCCGAAGACTTGAGTTTCCTCAACCTCGACCAGTCACCAAGTATTTCCCTAGCCTCCTCAAACAGCCGCCACGATACTCATGCAACACAGGGCTGTGAGAGAACGCAACCATCACAATGCACAGAGCATGCACTCTTTCAGAGACATAGCCCCTCTCGCGCTGTTCCTGGCCCTTCATCCAGTCAGGGATCCAGACCTGCAGCAGAATCCAGCCCACATCGTCAGCTTTTCGCGCCGCCGCAACCACTGCCTCGGCCTCCCCCTACTCCTAGGCACATGTCGCCGCAGTCGCCATCATTCCGATCTCAGCAAGTGCTCGCGCAAAACAACACACCTACCCCAGTGAAGCATAGTCGAAGTCAGTCTCACATCGCGATAGAAAGCTCCTTTGACAGCGCTGCACGGGCAGCAAGTAATCAACCATCACAGTCCTCGTCGACCGAAATTACCGCCTTGAACAGTGTGATATTACCTGCTCTCGAAGCCGCCATACGTCGTCGGGCACGGCGCTTGGAACTTCTTACTCACAACTCCGCTGGCAATAAGAGCACCGATGCTTACAAACAGCAGGCGCGTCAGTACCACGCGCACGAGATGATGGAGTCTCTTGTGGGCGATCTGTGCGGGATGTTCACAAGACTTGAACGTTGGGATAATGAGGCCCCTGTGGGAATGGGCGCCCAAGTCTCGTCGTTCTTAGAGGGGTTTCTCGAAGAGATTCTTGTTCGGATTGAGCCATCCGACGATGATTCGAACTCAAGCGGGGCTTAATTGTTGTCTTCTTGGGGCAACGATGCGGTCCGCTACTGGAATTTAGGCCTCTCTAGTGATGATAACGAGTTTCCCTCCACACATATTCGCTCGCAACCTCATCTGTCCCAACAAGCCTGGCAGATCTCTACCGTTGGACCACTTTCCATGAATCCAATGCCTGGTGTTCTCGTTGATAAGAGACTTGCGCATTCAAGACCCCTGGACTACACTTTTTATCTAGTCATGTCACCTTGGCATGTCTTCCTGTTGGAGTCAATACTTTCTCGTTCTGTTCAATGTATGCATGACGTTTCTATCTACCTTGGGCTGGAACCTTTGTTATTCCCATCATGATTATTAAGAAGGAACTGGATCTTTTCAAAGTCAAGCAGGCTCCTGACTTTGTTCGCCTCCTCTATTTGTTTTTCAAGTTCGCTTTTGTGTTTGGGTAAGAAGTTCTCAAGTCTTCCTCTCCCTTTTCTTTTCTTCTGTGGCTATGTTTTCTTAGGTTAAGATTGATGAACATAAGCAAATTTACTTCAAACGAATTCACGATAGGTCACACGCCTGAATTGTTGCATCTCATAACAAAGGCTCCGTGTAGACTTGACCCTGTCTTAACAGCCTATGTGATATATAGTCTAGAGGTTTTGTACCTTCCTCCGGCTTCCCACAGTGTACATTTATCGTACGAACCACTATCCCTATCATATATTGAGTGGTAGGACGAGTACCTAGGCTGTCCTCACAGGACTGATATTATGATGCGTAATCATGCTCAAAAGGGTCGAGTCTGCCTCTGTGACATCAATCATAAGACTTGCTTCGTCCTCTCGCATGTTTCGAAAGAGAGGCGTAGTGAAACCGCAAGCGGCCGGAGCCAAGCACTGCTGTGCATAAGCAGGAACCAAGCAGGTTCAAAGATGCAGAGACTTGTTCCTCGTGAAGGACTTGAACGCGAGGAGCAGCTTGCCCTCAGGGCCACTTTCTTTCTCACTGCCCCTTTTTTGAAACACGCTGTTGCCATCTAAAACTATCAAGACAGGGAACAACGAAGCTCCGAGACGCACCGTTGTCATGGCAGACTTAGACAGTGGGCACATATAGTCATTGTTCATCGGACTTATACGCTTTTGCTGCGTGACTGCCTGTAACTTTGACGGTGATCCCCAAGTGGCTGGTACTAGCTAAGTGTTTTCATGTGTTCGAACTTCACTTGGTGGTACCATTTGACTTAGTCGTTAGGCTCGCCAGAGCTCTTTCAACCACTGGGACGAAACAGCCAGTCAGTCTCTGGTGTTGGTATCAGGTAGTTGGTGATGTTGAACTCGTTCGTGTTTGTGTTGGTGCTATCAACGACAGGATCGGTCGTGTTGCCAGTCCCTGTAAGGCCATTGATCGGCATCTGCTCGTTGACTGCATCCCCCATATCCAAACTGAGGATCTCAGGGCCTCTGCCGGCCGGCACACGCGGGACATTGAAGAAGCCGAATACATCAAGGTACTCGAGTTCATTTGGGGCTAGATTGCGAGCTGGCGCGACTGCAGGGGCTGGTGGTTGGCTGCCAGCTGGGGATGAGCGCGGCTGTCGTGAAATGAGAAAATCGAGATCAAATGCACAACGACGCATGTCTGCTAGGATTTTCACAGACGATGGCGTGACGCGCTCACCCTCATTAGTGCCGGACTGTTGGTATTCGCCATACTCGTCGAGTACGCGCTGTAGGAGTGAGCTGTAGCGCTCTGCCACTTTCCAGTACTTCCCCATTTGAGAAAGGGTGTCAACAAAGAAGATGATATCGGGGCTAACAATATGGGCGATGGTGGATCCATGGACAAGCAGCAGGCGAGCAGAAACCCAGAGGGTGAACGCAAAAGGCGGCCCCATCTTGTCCAGCATGTTGTTGTCCACGACATAGCGGGTCACCGAAAGAATGTTGTCAACTGCCAGCAAGCACCGTTGGCTAGCACTGTATGATGGGGTGAAGATTGGAGAACGTGTGGTGGGGTAAGCGGCCGACGAATGGAGTCGAATTACAGCGCTACAAAGTGTTAGCCATTTTACCGCGGGGCTGAGTGCAAGGGTGTGATTTCTATACCACAGACAGAACTCACGTTTGATATGTAGCGTGTAGTTGAACCCAGTCACAGTGGAGGTTTCGGCTATGCTTGGGTCCACTGAAGAGGCGAGACGAGTTTTCATAAGCATACTCGGCTGGAAGGTTGAATTCCCATGATGTGAGTTCGCTATCGAGCTTGCGATACATCACTTGCCATTCCTCGACATCGGAAAGTGCACCTATATCGACGGGTCTCTTCAGAAACGTATGTATCCGAGATAATATCCCTAGAATTTCCACGTAGAGTCCAAATGTTCCCACATTCTCGGCGCGACTCGAATATTCAGCACGATCGCTGGTACGTCGGAACCACCGAGTCTCAACCGGCTGGTTCTTGTGGAAGTATTCATCTTTGCATGGAAGCTTGCGGTCAATATCTTTGTCGTCCAAGGCAAAGTCAAATGCAGTGGCGATGGTTGAGTATCGGTCTAGGAGGTAAACCATCCAAAACAGTCTCCGTCGGCTCTCATCCTCAATCCAGGTGTCAGGATCTGGAAGGGTGACTGCGCGCAGGGTATAAATGGAAGGATATAGAGGAGCAATGAGCGAGGATTTAGACTCCACGGCTAGGCCCAGTTGGACTACGGATCGCGTGACTAAGGCAAGTAACTTCCATCCCGGGGGCCCGTTGGATGAACCTACTAAGTCCAACGCTAAAATCACCAAAGCCTGGAGCGCTTTGACCGAAGAGTTTTCCAGCCCGTAGAAAAGCACCTTCTGCTTAGACGAGTCATGATATCGCTTCCGGTTCTGCGCGTTGAGTCGACTATCATTCGAAAAGCGGAGCGTGGTTGCAACAATGGCATAAAGCACGACTCTATCGGCTTCCTCTAACGGAGAGGGTCCAAAGAACGTATCGAGCGTAGTCCGGCGATGTAGTATCGGACACCAGGTGTTGATGTGTTCGAAATAGAGGTCGACTAGTGCATATAGTAGATCGTAGGGGGGGAGATCGAGTTCCGGGTCAGCTAGTGATTGTTCCTGGCTGTTATATAATGACACTGGGACCTTCAAAGAAGATTCGTTCCCTGTATAATCACTCTGGGTCGAATTGTTTGGAAGATGAGGCAACGAGATCGCAGAAGAGATGCCATTCGGAAGGTGATTTGGTAGCGTGTTCCGCACCGACATGTCCGAAGGGCTTGTGATAGAGACATCAGATTGACGAGTAGGGTGCGGGAACGAGGCTGGCTCTTGGAAGTGGAAGGCAGTTTGAGGACTTGTTCCATGAGCGGCAGAAGGCTCTGAAGGCGAACTGTAAGAGAATGGTGCAGGATGAAGAGCATCTTGGCCCAGGCGTGATTGGCCCCCAATGATATGCTTCTCAATGAGGCGAGCCTGCGTCTGGATAACTTCCTCCAAGCGGTCTATATCTCCGATATCAGTCGAGCGGGCTACAAGAGTACATGAGATTGGCAGAAAGTATGCCTACCGAGTCGCTGTTCGAGCTCCTTGCCATACCCCGCACGAAGGCCAGGCTTCTTGCGTTCCTTGTACTCACACAACTGGCCATTACGTGCACACCACCCACAGCTTGGTTGAGCTCGATCTAACAAGGTTAGCAAGACATGTATGTAACATTGCACTACCACGCGGCTCACCTACCACATTTGACTTTCCTCTGCTTACAAAGCTCACACCTGGTAGTTAAGGAGGTTAGCAAGGTCGGTAGGACAGTCACTACTGTTTCACAAAGGAAGGTACAGGGCGAATGCAGATGCACGATGCCGGAAGAGCATTCATTCATCAAAAGCTTGTTTAGGCCGGGTTGAAGAGGAGACATACGAGACAGTGAGGGGGCGCTTGCGCTTCAATGCTCGAGAAGCACTCGAGTCGTTCTGGGCCACACGGTCATTGTCACTGTCAGCAGCGGACCAAGACTCATCCCCGCTTTGATACCGTTCTGGCTCGCCAGAAGGTCGATATGGTGGTGGAGTCCGCTCAGCAGGAGGAGCTGGTGGTGGTGCTGGTGCTGCTGGTGCTGCTGGTGCTGCAGCAGAATTCGGCATAGCACTTCACTGTACTTCGGCGAATCGGGATCTGCAAGGAAGGAGGGGAGGGGGGGAGGGAGATAGGTCGGTTTAGCCACGGCAATTGGTATCAGTAGTCAGGAAAACCTCATGTTGACAGGGGGAGGGGGGCGGGTTGAGGTGAAGATCGGGGGAGGAATTGAACCGAATTGAACAACAAAAGAAAGAGACCGGGGAAAGCGAAAGGGAAGAGGCAGAAAGAAAGGCGAAGAGCAGACAGGCAGGCAGGCGGGAGTGCGTGCCCGCGGTGCGGGCAGGCTAGGCTAAGGCCCACGGGGTTTAGGTGGGTTTGGCAGTAGTAGTGCCCAGTGCAGGTGCCAGGGTTTGGGTGGGTTCCATGAACAGATGGGCAAGACCCAAACGGGGAATAGTACTAGCCTTTCACCTGGCAACCCCGCAATCTCTCCTACCGCGGCACTTCTTTGTCTGGCCCGTTTTCATTCAGGTTGCACAGTTGCAGACTCAAGTTCCAAGTTACTAGGTACATACTCCCTCCGTAGAAGTTGGGGCAAGGCCCGATCCGCCAGTCAGCTGACGATTTCGATGAGAAGAGAACCTCGAAGCTGTTGACCTCGGCCACTATTACCCCGAACTTGCGCTGCCCGCCCGGGGCAATGGAGAATTATTTCCCCTCGATGCCATTCCGGTAGCATGTGTTCAAATATGAGAAGTTTTCCAGGGGATGAAATGTCTTTCTTCTTCCTCGTTTGTTCACATTTGCTTTTTTATTTTTATTCTCTAAGAATCTGTACGCGTGTGTAGATTTACATCCTGTTGTCTGTACAGCATCGTCACCATGAGCAGCACGACGCCCGCTTTCCCCCGCATCAAGGAAGTTCGCACTTTCATCACTAGCGGAGTGGGCTCCGGAGGTGACTATCACAATGTAAGTCGCAGCCCGGTATTCGCATGTGGGAAGAGACTGCCCTAACCTTGCTTTCTCTCTCTTCAGGTCAAGGGTGGCCACTGGCTGATTGACAGCGATATTTCGACCCCTATGACCAAATGGGCGGAATACCGTGGCTCGCGGACCTCCTGGGGTATCAACGTCCTCGGCTCTTTCTGCGTCGAGCTGGAAGCCACCGATGGAACCAAGGGCTTCGCCACGGGCTTTGGTGGCCCCCCCGCTTGCTGGTTGGTCCACCAACACTTCGAGCGTTTCTTGATCGGTGCTGGTGAGTCTTTATTTGAACCTTTTCTCGATATTATAGAATGGACGACGACTAAGCCCCGTTGTTTCATTGATAGATCCCCGTGATACCAACGACTTGTTCGAGAGAATGTATCGGGCTTCGATGTTCTACGGCCGTAAAGGTCTTCCTGTGGCCGTCATTTCCGTGATCGATTTGGCACTTTGGGATCTGGTGGGAAAGATCCGCAAGGAGCCCGTCTACAAGCTCATTGGCGGAGCGACGCGCTCACGGCTGCACTTCTACTGCACTGGGCCGCAGCCCGCCGCCGCCAAGGCTGCCGGCTTCATTGGCGCTAAAGTCGCCCTCCCCCACGGCCCCGACGAGGGCACGGAAGGTCTGCTGAAGAACGTGGCCTACCTGCGTAAGCAGCGCGACTCGGTCGGCCCCGACTTTCCCCTGCGGGTGGATTGCTACATGTCCCTGAATGTCCCCTACACCATTGAGCTCGTCAAGCGCTGTGAAGCTGAGGGCATCAACATTGACTGGTGGGAGGAGTGTCTCACCCCGGATGACTTCGACGGCCATGCACTTCTGAAGAGAGCCCACCCCACTGTCAAGTTCACCACCGGCGAGCACGAGTACTCCCGCTACGGCTTCCGCAAGCTGATTGAGGGACGCAACCTGGATATTGTGCAGCCTGACGTGATGTGGGTTGGCGGTCTGACCGAACTCTTGAAGGTCTCGGCCATGGCCGCTGCCTACGATATCCCTGTGGTCCCCCACGCTTCAGGCCCATACTCATACCATTTTGTTGTCTCCCAGCCCAACACACCGTTCCAGGAGTACCTGGCCAACTCCCCCGACGGCAGCACTGTTGAGCCCGTCTTCGGAAATCTGTTTTTGAACGAGCCGATCCCCACTCAGGGCTACCTGGATGTGTCGATCCTAGACAAGCCCGGGTTTGGTCTCGAGCTGAACCCCGCGGCTCCCCTCATCAACGCCGCCACTATCCTCACTCCGGCTCCCCAGAAGGGCTTGCCCGCTCCGGTAGCAGAGCAGCCCGAGACCAACGGAACTGCATAGAATGATTGATCTCGATGGAAGGCTGTTAACAGGATTGCGCAGCGCGCAATGGATCCTACTTTTCATTGTCATTGCCCTTTTTCAGATGTCCCATGTATGACTGATGCTCTTTTTTTCCTTCTGCCTGATGTTACTCTATGTTTATAGACGGAAAATTCTCATTGACCGACCAATGGTCCCGACCGTGGAGAATTGTATTGTGGCACCGCCGAGTCGGCTAAATGTAGCGACACGAGCAAGTGTGGGGTAAAAACAAGTTAGCTCGGGGTATCAATACCGCGAAACCCCCGAGACCGCCCGCGGCGACTCCACGTGCCCCCTTTCCACCTTCCCCACTATCTTATCGCTTCGGCGGGGTTGGCCTTGATTGTAGCACTTGAAAAAAAACAAAGGCCGACTCCTCCAGCGAGGTCCAAATCTAAAGGTAGAGATATATTTAGGTATTTCCCCGGGATACTCGCCCCGGATTGAGCTCTTCTTACGACTCTGGTGGGAAATTGGCCAACATTTAACATAAAATCACAACACCATGCCGCTTCCACAGCTCCTCATCGGCAAAGTGGCCGCCATCACAGGTGGTTTGACCGGTATTGGCAGAGTGAGTACCTTCATCTCCCCTGGGGCTCTGCGATGAGCTTCCCAGAGACAGAAGAGCCAGCCCCGACCAACTGAAATCCCTGAACAGGCCATTGCCCTCGACTATCTTCGCCACGGCGCCAAGGTAGCCGTCAACCACCTCGGCGGCCCGAACGATGAGCCACTCCTCGAGGCGCTGCGCAGAGAGGTGTCCGAGGTGACCGGAGACGAGGAGACCAGGTTCATTGCCGTCGCGGGGGATATCTCCCAGCCCGAGACGGGGCGCGAGTTTGTCGCCAAGACGGTAGAAGCATTCGGACGACTGGATGTGTTTGTGAGCAACGCGGGCGTGTGCAAGTTCGAAGAATTCCTGGAGTACGTTTGATACTTACTTGCTGGCTGGCGTGGCTTCTGCGGTGGCCGTGGGGAAATACAATGCTAATAGTTCCCATCTCTGACAGGGTCGACCCTCCCCTCCTCGGCCACACCTTCAACACCAACCTCTCCGGGGCATTTTACGCCGTCCAGGCGGCCGCGCGACAGATGGCGCTCGCCCAGTCGCCCCCGGGCGGCTCGATCATCGGCATCAGCTCCATCTCGGCGCTGGTCGGTGGAGGGCAGCAGACCCATTACACGCCCACCAAGGCAGGCGTGCTCAGTCTCATGCAGTCGACGGCCGTGGCGCTGGGCAAGTATGGCATCCGCTGCAATGCGCTGCTGCCCGGGACCATCCGCACGCAGCTGAATGACGAGGATATGAGCGACCCCGCGAAGCGAACATACATGGAAGGCAGAATCCCGCTGGGACGACTGGGTCAGCCGCGGGATCTGGCGGGCCCCGCTGTGTTTCTGGCGTGCGAGGAATTGAGTGGCTATGTGGTGAGTTTCTGCACGACAGCTGTGATTATCTTCTATTACCGAGTACCATGACTAACTACTAGGGAATGAACAAAAGACCGGTGCGCAGCTACTCGTAGATGGTGGATTGTTCGTGAATCTTCAATAGGTTGGGATCTTGTGTTATGACCGAGACCTTGCATATCACGTCGCATATATAGCTAGCTATGAATAAGCCTGAGCGTAACCATTAAGTACAGACTCAAATCTCCACGCCGTAAGCCTTGACAGCAACACCGCCCCAAACCCCTTCTCTCTCCGCCTGGGACAAGCCTCTGCGGTCCAAGATCTCCTCGACGACCCTCTTCCACCGGCCCCACGAAACCGCATTCCCTCCGCCGCCGACATTGCAAACCGGCCAATCCGACCCAAACATGACCCTCTGCGGCCCAAAGACATCGAACACGAGATCAGTCCACGGCTGAATCCTGTCCACCAGCGCCTTGACATCCGGCTCCGTCCCCTCCTCCAGCGGCAGCAGCTCCGAGAACCCTCCGGAGAGCTTCATAAACGTCGAAGGATACTGCGCCATGGCCATGATCAAGGCCGACCACTCCAAGAAATCCGGATGAGTAGCAACAGAAGCCGGGCCACGATACGGCAGGCGAAGATTCGGCTTACAGAGATGATCTAACAACACATCGCAAGTCAGAATCTTCCTCTTCCTTCTTCCCCTTTTACCCACACGAGAGAGCAGCATCTACACGGGACCGAATTTGAGAGAGGGAGGGGGGAGGAGGGAAACACTCACTAATAACGACCTTCACGCGCGACCCATCCCGAAACACCAACCTCAACATCTCCGCCGCCTCCCTCAACTGCCACATCCCGCCTTGCCTCGCATCGACCCCCAGATCGAACGCCAGCCCCTGTCGCCCCAGCCATCGCAACCCCTTCACGAACCCCGCCTGCACCATCACCCCGGCCGGCTTATCCTGAACCAGATACCGAACCCCGCAGACTTTGTGGAACAGAGCATCCCCCGTCCGCTCCCGCACCAGCCCCATATACCTCTCCAACACCCCGGGACCCCCGGGTACCGGCGCCCACGGCACCATCCCAAGACACAGATGGCGATCCGCCGCCGTATGGCCCTCCCCGGGCACGGGGTCGCCCGCGATGATCCGCGTCAGGAGGGAGACCTCGTCCAGCGCGTGGGACCAGCCGCGGTTCTCCGAGTCTTCCTCCACCGAGGAGATGCGGTCGGTCTCTAGGAAGATGAAGCCCCGGAGATAGGGCGCTGCGCCGCGGGCGGCGCTCGGGCTGGTCGCGATCGCGGAGGCAGAGGCAGTCGCCTGGCGGTACTCGGTGACCGAGTGCTGAGCGCCCAGTGGGTTTTGGGGCCCGTGCCAGGCCAAGGTCGGTAGGTGGGATTCGGGGAATAGGTGGATGTGTGAGTCCACGATGGGGATGGGCTTGGACATCTTGGTTGGCGGGTGGGTGCGTTGGTTTGAATTGGTTTGGGGATTGGCTGGTTTTTTCTTCCCTTAACAATTAAGGAGGGACTGCGTCTTGGAGTGATATTGTGTTGTGCTAGGCTTGGGTTGCCGAAAATTGCGGGGTAATCTTCAGGACGATTGGGGAAATCTACTGCGCTGCTTAGCCCTGAAGTAAAGCGGAGGCGCAAGTTGACGAGGGGAGTTTCGAATCGTGGGAGGAGTAAGCTCGAGCTTCGCAGAACACGCGATATGCAGTACAATTGAAGTTTGGGGGGAACATTCCTTCAGGATTACGTCGCGTGTGTGCGGGGGGGGGGGGGGGCAATGAGAAGCTCGAGATCTTCTGACTTGTTTACTCATACTTCGCTTGTCTGGCGATCGATCGGTAGCCATTACTCCGAATAGACTGTCTCCGGCTCCACTCTCCAACAAATATACTTGTACTGTACATAGTATCTCCAACCATTCTCCACATCTATCTGCTCTGCTCGTCTCCCGATTTGTCCTCTGCAGAAGATTGAGCGCCAATTTGTTCCATGGAATCGTCCGCTGGCCGATGGCCCTTGTAGAACGGCGCCCGGGTCAACTCATGTCGCCCTCATTACTGATAGCGTGATCAATGAGCCCATTGGCCTCTATTCAATCCTGCCATATGCTCCGGTATGCTTAACAACCCACCTACGATTTTCCATTGCACGGCGGCAACCTTTTAATCGTCAACGTCAATCTTGCGAATTGTGAAGTTGCGAGGCAGATCCGAGTGTTGAGCGGTCGAAGCCAAATATATTATGAGATGGCGGGGACAATACTCACCTGTTAAGAAGCCTGGGATCAAACGCACGAGAGAGTCAAGACATACTCCCAGAAGACATACACTCCGAGACCAGCAGGAGAAATGCTTAAAAAAAGCATTAACCGACTTTCTTCAAAGCTATATACACAAAAAGGCCAGGAAGGGAGAGAATCTCATGCTTCCCGAACTCCGGGAAAGCAAAAAGTCATGACCTACGCAGGGCTCGAACCTGCAATCTCTTGATTCGTAGTCAAGCGCCTTACCATTGGGCCAGCAGGCCTCGCTGTTGAAAAACCGTTGTTTAGTTAGATTTACGTTACAAAATCAAAGATTGACCTAAAACCGATCAGGTTGAATTGTGGCTAATCGACAGGAGTTGATCTCATATATCTGCATGGGTAAGCTGCCCACAACCCACGGTACACGTCTATTGTACGCTTACCCGGACAAAGCGGACCGAGGTCAACAATCCTCCCAGTAAGGCTTGTCGAAGCCCGCGTGGAACCATGGCTTCTACGTGACTTTTGTGTCACCGGGCGCAAACAAAGTATACGAACTTTGGGCTATCCGCTGCGATGACATCAGTAGTACTCTAGTACAAGAAGCAGAGGCGGCCGATGTACGAGAATGATCGATGTCAAAGGAAACACGAAATAAGCTGCAAAGCTGCCAGGCTGAGATTGAGATAAATGAAAATATGATATGCTGAGCACAGAAAAACATAGAAAGTCACCAGCGGCAAGGGTATAAACGAAAGAAACCACCCAATGCAACGCTATCTAGCCTTTTTAGAAAAAAAGTGGAAAAGCTGTTGAAAGTGGCAAAAGCAGCGCCCGAAATTCATCGAACTCGCTTGCTATTGCCAGGAGTCGTAGCTAAAGACGGCCTTTTCTGACCAGCACCTCCGTCAGTAGATGCCAGAGCACGGATCAGCGCGTCCAGCCGGATGATATAAGCCTTGGGCGCGCGGTCTACCTCCACCCTGCGCAGGATCCCCTTCAACTTGTTCTCAAACTGACGAAGGTCCTTGAGGGGAAGTTGCTCGAGAACATCAAGGACAAAGAAGTCTCCAGTTTCGTGGGTCCTGCCAATGAGCTGGTGATAGAGATTGCGCTGGTCCTCGTCCTCGCCGTCAAATGTCTCCCGACCCCAGTCATTGCCCTCCAAGGGATCCCGATTACGGCCGCAGATGTCTTCCAGTAATTTAATGAGCGCTTTTGCAGCCCCATCAGTGCCGTACGGTGCCCGCGCCATAACACTCCTCTGGACTCGGTGGACATGGCCTTGGATCTCCTCCAGCACAGTGCTGGCCGTTAAGTCTTCGACTCCCGTCGGGAGCTGTCCGGTCCGACAGTATCGATCGAAGTTGGCGAGTAAGCTGCGCAGTCTCTGCTGGACCTTGTCAAAGTAAATCACCGCGCAAGCCCCGATGGGCATCGCTTTACGCAGGCTGGCGTAAACTGCATCGTCGTGGACCGCTAGCCGGAACAAGGTAGCCTCGAAGTTCCCCTGCACCACGCACTGCTCGGGCGTGCGCGACTGCCCCGGGTCATCACCGGCAAGGTCCGGACGGAAGTCCTCGGGCAGTATGGCGCTGTCAAAGGCGGACATGATATCCCTGACCATCTCCTGACGATTCATCCCCCCGTGGGCTTCGAAGCGCGAATACGGCCAGTCAAATTCGTGCGCAATGGCAGGTATCTTGCAATCGAGCAGTTGTCTGATGCGTTCAAGGTTCGGTAAGCGGTCATGGTCGGATAGAGGAATGTCGGGGGTAGGAGGTCGGGAGAAGAGGCGGCCATGAAGCTGATCGTGAAGCCACTTCTGACGGTTAGTATCGAAGGGTAGTAGAAAAGGAGAGCTTCCCCGACAAGTGGACTAGAGTCATACTGACATAAATATGTTGGCAGGGTACACTGGATCGACTCGAGTACGTCGGACAAGTGCAAGTGACAGACTCTGCGTCGAGATGAACGTGAGGCCGCTCTGACAACTGGAACCCGTATCCTGTCTGCGTCTCATGGCAGCGGGCCACGTCGAAGTGACTCGTCAATCCCACCAGAGCTCTGGCCTTGGAACCGACATCCAGCCTGGAGAGGTCGTAAGAAATGCCCGACTCGCCATGTACAATTGAGTGTGCTGCCGGGATTGCCCTTTCGTCAGCGCTGGAATCGCTCCCACTATCCGAACCATCGCTGTCATCGCTGTCCTCGGCCTGGTTTCTGATGATCTCTTTTCTGGGGGGAACTGTTGGCATGTCGTCATCGGTAATTGACAATCTTCGAAGTTGGCGAGTAGGAGTAGACATGAATACTCGGTCGTGCTTCGGCAAAAGCCGGACTTCTCAGATGTGCAGCTGTGTAGCTGTGTAGCTGTGCAGTGGGGACAATAGCGGACATGCGAAACTGACATTATATAGAGTTTGCTCCGAACCAGGGACGAAAGCGGGTACTCTTTGCTGCCAGTGCAGACATCCAACTGGCACAGTGACAATCACAGGGACTTGAGCAGTCCTTATCGCTTGGCACTCAGTAGACAAAACTGCAATTGCAGTGCCGCAATATTGATAATCACAACTGGATGACTATTTGCCTACTAGACAACCTTGCCACGGGATTCATGCCTTCCAAGTGGTGATTCTGCGCCGCAGAAGAAGACGGATCTCGGTACTGTATGAGCGGAAATTCATCCCGACGCAGCTGAAGTTAGTTGCCCGGAGCATTTTCAACACTTCTTGTCAATATTGCTAGTCAGCGTTTTTCCCTGAAGCCATTGGTTACCTGAAGCTCTAAAATACCAATATGGCACTACGTATACTTTTCCAGTTCCACACCGACTGGCTGCGAAAAGACTTGGGTCGCTCTGTGCTTCGTATTGCGGACCAAATATCAAGGTGGGCCGGTGTAGATCACCACTGGTAGCAACCTGTCAAAGACTGCGCCTCAGGGAATTGCGGTCGACGTATCTACTGTTTCAGTCGCGGTAGGCTGAGAGGCGAGTAGGTCAGTAAGCGAACAAAGCACTCAAGCTTTGTGGTTGTGGTGCCATCGCTGCGCTGTGCCGCTGGGCCCCATCGCAGCCACTCGACATGGCGTGCGGCGCATCTCCAGTTATACAGTACATTACAGCCTCAGCTTGCAACCTCCACATTTCGCAGCAGAAGACCATTCTCCCTGACTGTGCCGCAGTCCTCGTATTGGCATTAAAATTATGTGGCTAACGCCACACTAGAGTATCCCCACGGCTCCAATAGAAAGATGGGAGAACATGAAAAGAAAGAAGCGGAAGGGTCCACGGAACGTCTAATTACATATTAGATAGAAGCACTGATGATGTATGTACTGGGATAAAGCTGATTCTACAAACAACAAGCTTGTGCGCATGCTCATGTGACCTTCCTTGCGGCGTTTCTCTTCTTCGCATTCTCCAATGCCTTGCGAAGTCGCTCTTGATGCTCGTTGTCTTCCACAGGCTGGCCAGAGGCAGGCTTGGTGGCGGAGCCGGGACTCGGTGAGCGAGCATTCTTCGGTGGCTGTACAGGCTCCAGCAATAGAGCAGGCGATTGTTCGGCGGCATTATCGTGACCGAGGGAACGGAGAAGATTATTGATGCTAGCGGCCACCTGAGCGGGCCCTTCCCTAACACTCTCAAGCTTGGATTCTAGATCATCCTGGATCTTTTTATCTTCTTTCTGTTTCTCAGCCTCTAGCTGACGAAAAACATCGGTCTCGGCGTCTGAGCATCGAGCCTCAGCAACAGATACACCATAATCGGCGTCGTTGAGAACTGCATCAGCGATACCGAAATTCTCGAGTATGGACTCGGAGTCTTCGCGCAAGCAGTCAATGAACTGATTGACTGATTTGAGTAATCGCACAATTTCACTCTCTGGGAGAGGAGAAGAACGAAGGCTTGCCGCATCGATTCGTGATACCTTTGCAGTGATGTCATCGAGAATCCTCTGGTTTTCTCCTAGACCATGCATGATAACATCATCGAAAGAGTCCATCAATCGATTGGCTCTAGCATCCCGCTCCCGAGTAGCCTCCAGCTTATTGCGCTTCTCCATCTGATCGAATTCTTGATCCAGCCGTCTGAGGGCAGTCGAGTCGCCCATAAAAACAAGAGGCCGCCTCTCAGCTTTCTTTCGTCGACGTTCGCGATCTAAAGCAATCTCGAGGCGCTTCTGATAGCGAGCCTCCAGGTCACGATAGATCTCATTGACGATCTTCATTGTCTTAGACACGTGACTATGGCCATTTGCCGTTTCCTGGATCGTATTGTCACCGTCGTCAAGCCAGGCGAGAGCGGCTTCATAATCGGTTTGCAATGCCAGGACCTCCTCTTCCAATCGTTTATCCAGCGGGTCAAAAACGTGCGCAATAAAGTCGTTCAATTCTTGCCTCTCCTCCTCCAGCTGGCAGCGAGCCTCTTTCTGACGGAATTCCTCCTCGAGGACATTGATATCAGCATACCCTATCTCCTTTGCGTTGAAAAGGGCATCAATGTGTCTTTCGGACTCTTCCTGACGTTGGACACGTTCCTTCTCCAGTGCGTCCCTACGAGACTTATTCGAAGCAACCCAGGTATTTATCGCCTCGTGTATGTAAGTGAAGTCACTGGTTATTCCTGTGGGCTCCTTTTTCGTGGTAGTTCCAATACCGCTCACAGACTCTTTGCTCAGTGACGATGACACGATTGAGCGTAGTTCATCCAAGGGGTCAGGAAGTCTGCCTTGTCTCAGGGAGGCAGGTAGTGGTGGGAGAGTCGACGACTTCTGGGAAGCTGTTTTTCGGTACGCAATACTTTTCTCCCTGATGAGACCGATGAATGTTTCGTCCTGACCTGCTTGGTTTGGTGTGTCTGCAGGGAACGAGAGGTCTTCTGATGCAGGAAGCAAGCCATTGGACATCACCCGCCCACTTTCAGCAGATGCTTGACGCAAGGCAGAATAAGCTTGATATGCCGGACGATCAAACACGAGGGCATCTGAGCCTCTCTGAGGACCCTCCGTGTAACGGAACGGCGCGTAAATCGGCTGTGGGGGATTGGTAGCAAGTGGAGAGAGGTCCTGCTTATGTGCCGCAAGATCAATCATCGTAGGCGGTACTAAGGCAGGTCTTGGGGATGACATCTGTGCACCAACGGAAGGGGCAACAGCGTGTGATGGGGAGCTTTTCACACTTGCAGGGCCAGGTGTGTGAAGCCTAAGGATGGGTCGGCCACCCGGACTGTAGCTGCCATCTCCTGGTTCGTCCGCGGTAGTAGTAGCTACAGAAAATTTCTCAGTTTCCACCGGGCACAATCCAGATTCCACAGGAGGGGACACACGATCGGTTTCGCTGCTGTTTGCATGAGCAGTTGGTGTCACCGATGCTGAAGGAGAAGTGCCTGTCGTTGTCTGGTTGGCACTTTTTGAGTGAGGCTCAATGCCATACAAGACTTCACGTAGCTTCGCCTCTTTGGCCATGAAACTTGTAAAAATCTCAAATCGGTCTGAATCGGTATCTGCCGTCGCCTCCTTCCGTAGCATTGCCACATATCGTTCCAAGGAGGATTTGGACCAGGTATCAAGATCATCAAAGGGATCAGGCCGTTCCAATGGCGCAAGTGCTGTCCGATGTGTTCCTTCGACTTCACCGGCCTTACTTTCGGTCCCTTTCAAACTAGTCTTGCTCTCTTTCCGCGCTGCATGTTCTGATTTTGCGTCATCGTCTAGGTCAGGGTTCTGTGAGTTTGTTTTAAGCGGGCGAGTCCATGCTTCAATGACACCATCAATACTCTCCACGGTTTCTGAAGTAGAGACGGAGCTATGGATTGACTCAGTACCATCCACTCTGGCATTCATGCCAAGCGAGAGGGGTGTTTCGTAATCGTCCTGTACTGTATCAACACTCACGGGGGAATCATGAATATCCAACTGCGTGTTGGTATACCCTGTGTGCAAGTCCGATATAGGTGGCGCGGAACTACTAGGGAAGTTATGAGGTGCTGAATTTGCTCCAGGTAAGCGAGAGGGGGGTCCCGAGCCCACTGGGCTTGCGTGTTCACGCTTGGGAGCTGAGGCCGCAACGTCGTCAATATTTCCTGGCGTCGGCAATAGATGCTCCCAGGCAGAAGGAGTACCAGGGCTAAGAGCGGAGGCGCTAGTAGGAATTGAAGTGGGATTGGTTTTGGGTGGTACCGGAGGCGCGGCGACAGGTAGCAATTCAGGGGCTATGCTAGTGGTTGTTTCATGAACCCACGGAGACTGGGTTTCTGGATGTCCAATGACATGTGACGAATGTGGTTGCTGTGGACATGTAAGTGGAGGCAGTCCTGAATCAGACACTGGAAGCCCTACGAGATGGGCTTGAATTGGTGCTGGTGGGCTGGGCTGCTGTACGGGAGAATCATGAGGTTGATTGAAGACGGCGCTAGAATATGGTGGAGGTTGTAAATGATTCTGCGTTTGGCCGCCGGAGTGAGAAACAACGCCCTGGTAGCCGAAAGGAATAGGAGGTGGTGGCGGGGCCTGTGTTGGTGCGAAATCGGTCTGTTGATGGGATGCAAATGGAGGCGCGCTCCATTGCGGATATGGATTCGATGCATCTTGAGCTGCCTGCACTGGAGTTGCCGACGAAGGCCTTTTGACATCCAACGAGCCACCGGCGGAAGAATTCGTCTGGATAGATTGGGACTGTGTCGTGCTTGGAGGTCGCGGCTGGGGAGTTTGTTAGTTACGAAAGCCCCCAAATTCTGATAATCCTGCCAGGTGTATGTGTATACAGTGTACTGGTACTCTAGTACACTTACCGGGAGTGGTGGGGGGCTCGGGGCCTGAAACTGCTGCCTGTTGTATTTCACTCCCCATGAAGTTGGGTCCATTCCTGCCATGTTGGAGGTTGGAGAGACATTTGCGCCCGCGTTCTTCACCACAGGAGAACTGGTATTCGGTCGCGATCCACCATGATTAGGTGTTGGGCGAGCCGGAAGAGGGGGGTTTGCCTGCCATGACGGCTGCGGGGGATTGTGCGACGTCGCAGTACTTGGAGTAGTAGTGGCCGACGTGAGGCGCCATTCTGGTTGTGAAGGCCCTGTATTCGACCCGTACATCTCCTTAATCAATTTTGTGTTTTTCAACAGAGAAGTTTGCCTTGCGCGAAGTAGATCCTCTTCCTCGAGAACAGTGAGGTGAAAAAGAATGGCAGAGCGGGAAGAAGAGAAGTGGCTGGCTGATCTAAGAGAAGCACGAGGAACAGAAGAAACAGATGGATGGATGGATGATTGTCCTGCTGACTTTGGGTGGCACAAGATCAACCTAACAGGAAGCAAGCTGAGCTGTACTGTACCCCCTTTCCCGGGTGACCTAGATTATCTGCGGTCTTGGTATTATTTATCGAACCCTTCGGCGTATGGATGGGGGAGGGGGAGAAGAAGAGTCGGAAAGAGAGCCGAGCGAGGCGGTGCCGAACACCCACTGCAATACCTACTACGCCTACTACAATACCGTGCCGACTTCACTTATTCTCCATCCACTACCCTCTTCTTCTACTTCTCTCCTTTTCAAGCCTTCGGATAATGCGAACGAAAAGCATACCACTTTATTTCGCCTCGTTCTTACATGATAGACAGTTCAGGCTGAGCGCACAGCTTCATTGCCCAAGAGTCTAAGGACCACCTGAAATATGAGAACGGGCAGAGACAGAGGCTTCAAGGTTCTTTTCCGTCCTTTGCTTATGCGCGCGATGCTGTCTCGGAGGGACATTTTCTTAAACATGGACCACTTCCAAATCATTAGTGGCTGGTGAGCCTTACGAGCTCATTCCCCGCAGTTTACATGCTCTGTCTTCCTTTGTGCCCTTTGCGTTCTTTGTTGCTTGAAGTCGCGCGGAGTCGTAGCCCTGGGAGTACCACCATGTCTAAAAGGGTCAACACACCCAACAAGCGTTGGAGCAAACGCGTAGTACTCTTCTATCAACCCGAAAATTATTTCCAGAAGACTCTTATCATCTCTCGAGCACAGTACCTGGGAGAGAACCAGCAATTGCACCATGTCGGACAACAAAATCCCTCCTGACTATCATCTGCAGCGTCCCCCTGATAACGCGATACTGCCGCTGCCGCTGCCCCCGAGGCCCAAGTTGTACGATGAGGTCGAATGGGGACCGCATGTGAATCAGAACGATGCTCGTATTGCCCACCGCTTCTGGTTTCGCGCAGACTCGGCGATTCAAGCAGACCACAATACTGCAGGGGAGAGGCCATTCTTGCGCCCAGTCGATGACGAGGAGAGGGCTGCGGACCAGATGCATGCCCTAGCACGTAACATTTACAATGACCTGATGCGTCAACATCTCGCCCCGCTTAACCCCAATGATCAGGGGACAGCATGGACGAATCACTCGTGGCAGTTCCATGACATCTTCCCAAAGGACGAAAGGTCCCAGGACGATGACGAGATTATCCGGTGGACATTCTTTGAACCCAAGGCGACCCAGTCCATGAAATCTGACCAACTCAAAGAGGCTCTTGTTGAGAGGGGTCTCGATCCCAAGGGTACAGTGGCTGTACTGCGCCAGCGTCTTGAAGCATACCAGACAGCAGGGCCGGAGTGTTATCGGGCCCTGCGGCGCAGTGACCTCTCCCGCTGGGGAGTTGAAAGGACAGACATCAGTCGCCTGTTCGCGATCAACATCTCAGAGGATGAGACATCACGTACAGTTGACCTGTACACTTGCGCCATCCTCCGAAGCCCATACAACCCTGTGTACTGGATGGGTCGAGCTTATTGCCACTACCGACACGCCATGGTTGACCTTGCCATTGGGGACGCATATCGAGCCCAGCTCCTACTTGAGGTGTTAGTCAATCCTTTAAGACGAAACGTCCAACCTGGCCTTTATACTCTGGTCTGGCATGCGATTGAGCAGCACATTGAGGTCGGCGGAGTGCAAGATGAGATTCGCTTGCGGCGCCGTGGCAATGGAATCAACTACTTTATTCCAACCATGCGCAAGGCACTTCAGAACATTATCAGTCTCAGTCTCATGGCTCTTCGAGGGTGGATTGATCAACCGCACTTCGAGCAGGACCTTGTGGACAAGGTTATCATGAATGATCGCGATACGCTACCGTCCAAACGGCGCCCTGAGGTTTACAAAAAGGTTAAAGAATCTTCGACGTGCAATTGGACGCTGACCAAGGACTACGCTCGCAATACCCTGTATCACGAGCGACGTAGTGGGTGGAGTTATGGAGACAGACCCTATCCCTACGAAGCAGATGATACGGTGAGATTGCCCAAGACCGGCGAAGGGGAAGGCTTTGCGGAAAAGGCAAACGAGTTATTCGTCACCAAGAATGCCAGCCTCCCCTGGACGAAGTGCAGGATCGCGATGGAAAGAGAGCAAAGGTATATGATCTTGGCGACCGAAGACATCGCCAAAGATGAACTCATCTGGGTCGAAATACCTTCAGCCGGGGGCCACCTTGCCATCAAACGACCGCCACTTCCCCAAGACCACGTCCCCGCGAGGATACTTGATTGTGATAACTGCCGAAGAGTGATCACTTCCAATGAGCAGCGTAGGCAGAGAGATGAGCTCAGCCAGGCGAGAAGGGCTAACCCGAAAAACAAAACCACCAGAGAAGCATGCGGCTGTATCGACAGTGACCCACCTATTATATTCTGCCCTGCTCGAGGAGAAGACGGCGACGAAACCTGCGCTGAGAACGCTCGGAGACGATACCACTTCCGTGCATGTGGGAAGGATTGGGAATGGCTCCACGACGCCATGCGACCTGTCGTCTACAGATTCAAGGATAAAGAAACGTGGCTCTCACATTCCAACGAGATGCATGGCACCGTGTTAAGCCTCCTGCTCCGGGAAGTCCTCGACATAACCCTTCTCAGACGGAAGACAAACCCGACTCTTCACGCACACGAGATCGACGAGCTCTTCGCCCTCGAAGGCCGCGCGGACTGGGCCAACCAGAGCTTCCCCTTTACATTCGCCGCTAACATCCAGGTCCCCATTGACATCCTGATGACCCTGGGCGTCGACGTATTCCGGGACCTCAGTTTCGATACCTGGGTAATCCAGCGGGTGCTACAGAAACTCCTGGTGAACGCCGTACCTTGGGATCAGGGCCTACGCGTCAAGATCAACCGAAACGACAAGATCAAGAAGGGCTGGGGGTTCCCAAGACCCAGTCAACAAAAGGGATGGGGTGACGAAAAGTACGAGAAGTATGACCCCACCTGTCGGTTTTTATACCTGTTTCCGGGATTCAGCTTCTTCGATCATGCGTGCAAGGACAACGGCAATGCGCAATGGGGATATGACACGGAGATCCCCAATCGATTGCTCGTATGGGCGACTAAACCGATCAAGGCCGAGGAGGAGATCCGCATCTCTTATATTTCCGATCGAGACAGAGACGAGAGAGATTCTGTCCTACAGCGTGTGCTGGGTAAGCCATGTAGCTGCCCTGGGCCAACACATGCCGCACCCGGCGGTCCTGCGTCACCCGACCCCCATGTTCCTACAGGGCCGTCAAAAGCGCGGATTAAGTCTTCTCGGCCCCGGCCGCACAATTCTTCTGAAGACGATTCTTCTGAAGACGAGTCCGGTTGACGGAGGTTGGAACTGCTCAGGGTGGAACTGCTTTGGGCAAACAGCAACCTTGAAGATCCTTCCGGGGCCCAAGGAGCGCAGGGAGGGACTATCCAGGGAGCTACTCAGCGAGCGCGAGTCGGACATATCGGTCAAGAACTGTCGTTATCAGGCCACGCTCAAATTATAGCCATCGAAAGTATGAACTGGTCTCCTCGTGTATTCATCTCAGCATGTCTTGACTACCGTGTGCTGTACCCTTTCTTTGGTTTGCTACCGCACTGTTGCCGATGATTTTTTGCTGTATTTGTTCTGTTAACTTATAGGTTGTGTCGTCATCTGTTCCTCCTCATCTGATGTAAGTATACAAACTTGAATAGCCACGAAGTGCTCCGTACACAAGTATGAATTAACAATCACCACGCAAAGGCGAGCATGCTTTTTGGTCAAAACGAAATTCCATTATATGCACACACAAGAAGAAAAATCAAGCCAGACACAAATGAAACCCAATCATATAAAATACAGTGTTTATCTTTAGAAAGCCGTATAACAACGACTCACGGGAAAAAGAACTTGGTAGTCTATCCAGAGCATCACAGGCCGATGGGTGTGAGGATGGGCCAGAAAAGGGAAAACCAGCATGAAACTTAACATACACATACATAAATCGCTCCGTATGACAAGATATGTCAGTGGTAAGTATCTCGAGGGAGCGATGAATACTGGGCGTCTCAAGCTCCCCTCCCTGCTAATCGTTCACTGAACAATCTTTAAACCTGGACAGGCACTGTGAGACGTCTTCCCAGCTTCTCAAGCTCGCCGATCACACCGCCACCAGCCAGAGTCCACTTCTCATTGACCCATTCTTCACTAACCTGCTGTCTCAGAAGACCGCTGCGCGCGAAGTACTCCATGAAGCCCCGGGCTTCTTCGCGAGTGATACCGGCAAGGGTCTGAAGCGTCAGGGTTCCCTCCGTGGGAACAGAGGACTTGGAAGACTCAAACGCAGCAAGCACACGCTCGTCAGGATGACTAAAGGCGGTGGGCATGGGGTAGTCCGGGCTGGAAGGATACACGCGGTTTTGGCGAGCGGCCACCCGCTCGAGGGCAACATCAAGACTGTAGATACTAGGGCTGTTGGAGGCGGAGGTGGCGTAGAGCAGGATACCACCGTTGGGCAGAACGGACTGCTGATTGTTGCCGGGCTTCAGCAGAGAGAGGAAGTGCTGGACGAAAACAAGGTCATGAGCGTGAATGAGCTCGTACTTGGCAGTGCGGTATTTGGTCTCCTTCATCCAGTGGGCCAAGCCGTCGACGGCGACGAGCATAGGAGGACGAGAGGCGAAGTCCTTCTCGAAGCCAGGGGCGGGGGATGTAGCCGTGAGCTCAGTCCACAAGGCTTGGAAGACGGGCCAGGCGGAGGCAGGGTCTTGAATCCCAAGGTTGGCGAGAGCCTCGAGTGTCGTGTCGCGCTTCAGGGGAGACTTGAGGGCAGGATGTTCACGAGAGACCTTCAACTTAGAGAGGACTTTCTGGTTGGCCGTCACAGTGCGGGACAAGAGAGCGGCGGTGGCCTGGTTTTGAACATATACGTTGGGGTTCTTCTCCGAAAGGGGCGCGTAGCTAGTGTTGGCCAAAACCAAGTCCTGACCTAAAAGCCTTAGGTTAGTGATTTGTGGCATGGTACATCAAGAGGGGTCAAGCATACATTCGGGAACAGTCACAACAACCCATTCCTTGGTGAAGGCCATCGACATGGCCTGAAGGAGGTGAACTGTCTTTCCGATACCT